AATAAGAGAACTACATACTTCTAAGCTTGTATCTTCCATTACAAACAAATTATACGGGAATGGGTGTGGCTTTATCATGAGCCATACAATAAAGGTGTTCTTTTAATAGAACATCGAGTTCTGGCCAGTGACTTTATAACCCTTGATTGGGTATTCCCTGGCCATGTACAACTGAGACATCGGAGCCACCTGACTGGAATAAAACACTGACTCTTCAACTTGTTCTGTTACATCGAATGGATTATCATTCGCTTCCATTTTGAAGACCTGATTTCCTTCCCAGAACATTAATTGTTGGTGCAAGGTTGATGGCACACATTGAGAGGCATGTATCCAGTCTCTTCCCAGCAAAAGAGAGTATGTAGTATCTGCGTCCACAATAAAGAAAACAGTGGAGATCTTTTTTGGTCCGACTTCAATTGTGGCAACCATCATGCCTTCAGGCTTGGTCGGCTGCCCTGTAAAACTTGTCATTTCGAATTCCACAGGAGATAAATCATGTACTCCTTTTCCTAACTTCTTGAGAGTCTTCAATGGCATAACATTAAAAACTGCTCCATTATCCACGAAAACCTTTGTGATTGGTTTCCCACAAATATGAGCATTAACATACAGAGGCTTCAAATGGGAGATCGCACCCTCTGGAATAGGAGGAAACACAATCGAGGGTGGCTCTGGTTGAGGCTCAGAGTCTGAAGTCTTTGCCCACTCTGTTTCCTCTAATTCATCATCTGCCAAGAATGCCCATAAAGGTTCGTCCATAGTATCATCTACCAGACTCGCCCATATCGGTTCATCTCTCATCTGATTAATCTCTGTCATTCGACAAGGGATTCGTGACCCCAGACGGGATTTAACAGATCTTGAATTCTCCTCTGTAGTTACAACTTCTTCCTTCGTTTTGTTCTGAGATTGAACCGTCAAAGATTCTATACGGAATTCTTCAAAAGATGGATTGATGTTGATCCGTTCACAATGTTGACATCTAAAACCTTTAATTATTTCATCTGCCACTCCTTTACCTTTCCCCTGTCCCGACGAACCTCTTTTGGTATGGTCGGAAGCGCCTAATCCGTCATTCGGTTGCTTTCCTGACCAGACCCGACTGGACCGACCAACTGGAGACTGAATGGCTACTCTCTGCTGGTTGGTCGTTTGTTCTGTAAAGACCCGAATGGGCTGATCTCCTGCCAAGTGGTCGGCTGCTTTTTGTTCGTCGGTTAGTTGTTTTGCTGAAGGACCTCGTTTCCCATACTTTGCAGCATACATGCGTTTGGCAATGCGAATCTGTGTACGATTCATGCCCGGGAAACGAGGATCTATATCAACTGGTAAAGGTTTTTTATTCCGAGCCCAATCGTTCCCAACTGAACCTGTTTTTCTGGTCGGGTGGTCTCGCACTAAAACCTTTTCCTTCACCTCCACATTAAAAGAACCGTCTGGACGGTCCCATTTTTCAGCGACTGGCCTTTCAACAACTTTGAGTCGTTCTTCCGGTCGGCTGCTGTTTGGCTGATTCCCTTTCTTTGTTCCAGGACTTGCCTGAGTTCGCTCTCCTGTTTCTCCACTATTGGCCGAACTTTTCCCTGTTTCCGAACTTGGTTGGATGTCAACCATTGCTGTTGTTACTTTCGGAAACGGTTGCTGGTCTACACCTAGAGTGATGTATTTGAGCCGACCTGTCTTGATGGCCTTTTGAATTTCCTTCCTGAAATGAGTACACTGACTTGTATTGTGTGTGAAAGAATTATGCCACTTACAATATGGTCTCCCCTTGATTTCTTCTTTAGTGGCCAATCTTTGCCCCTTTGGAATACGGATCTGCCCATCAGTTAGTAGGATATCAAAGATTTCATCAGCTTTCGAACTATCAAAGGTCGGTTGCTCCTTTCCTTCAGATCCTGGAACTGGCTTCAATTTAGGGCATACATAAGGTTTTCCAGAAAGGATTTCGGCTGCCATCTCTTCTGATTGATTAAAATCAAAGTCACATGTTTCCGTTCCCATACTCGCCATATGTTGGCCTCTATTACGCCTGTTATGTTGATCTTCCTCTCTGAACAAAGACTCTAAACGTCCTGCCTTGGATGCAAGACTTGCCAAATCCTCAACATCCAGGGCAGTGAGTGCCTTTCTTAAACGAGTATGCATATTCCGGACCACTAAATTGGTCATCTCTTTCTCACTGATTACCGTAGGACATCGTCCCTTCATCAGTCGCACCCTTTCTATAAACTGTGAAGCAAATTCTTCTGGATACTGCCTCAATTCCAGTAAATCTGTTAAAGAAACAGTTGGTAAAGGATTGAAGAATCTAGCATGAAATGCCGTCTCCAGTCCTTCCCACGTCTGAATTTGTCCAGGAGGCAGACTTGCAAACCACGAGAATGCTGTTCTAGTAAGAGATAAACCAAACAGCTGCAACTTATAAAAAGGGTTATTACCAACTTCTCCCAATTGTGCTGTGAACCGACCAACATGTTCTATGGTGGAAGATCCGTCCTCCCCTGAGAATGCATGAAAATCGGGTGGTCGATAATTCCTTGGGAGAGGGTGTTCATTAATGATTCTTTCTGGGAACGGTCTCTGATACGCAGGGCGGTTAGCCATCTGAGGAGTTAATCCATACTGATCCCTTAATATATGTGCAATCTCATCAGGATCTACATGCAAGCGTTGATGATCAGGAACATGGAACGGATCCTGCACAGGAATATGAATAGGATCATGTATATATCCTTCAGGCCTGTCCTCCCTTATATTATTCGGCTGCGGATTGGTAACCCTTGGTCCCAATGGAACAGTGTTGGGAAAAGTCAGAGGAGACTTTCCCCTATCCATTCGGTTGGGATTTGTGGCACTTGGAAACGTAGTGTCCACGAATGATGGCCCTGCGAAATTTGCCTGTGGTCTGGATGGTGATATTCCTGGTGGAGTTTGAGTGGGTTGAAGACTAACCCTTGACAGTGCTTGATCTATCATGTTCTGCATCAGATTCTGTTGCTCACGCAACATGTTCGTTTGTTGCTCACGCAACATTTGTTGAACAAAAGACCACCATTCGGCTGGTGGTTGTGGGATTTCCCCGGCAGTTGGCACAATAGGTGGTGGAACGGATTCTCCCACCGGTGCCGAAGATGATTGAGGTTGTGAACCTGCCATATGGACCCTTCCGATGATACGGCCGGATCTAAGACGTATGAAATTGTCGCCGGAATTGGAATGAGCAATTTTGTCTTGCTCCCACTGTGGTCACCAATTTGTTGATGTATTTTTTCAACAAAAATAAAGTAAAATTCAAAGATATAGAAAATATCCTTAAACTTGATTAATTAGTGCCTGAGATTAGGAATCTCTAAACACTGTATGGTACAGAAAATAAACTGGAAAATAAAAGACTGAAATTTAAAGTGGTGATCCCCAAATCTGACTTTGCTTTGTTGAAGTTGATTGAAGATATCTTGCCAAATGATGATTCAAACCTTTAAATATTCTCTGGGGAACCGTACTGAAAACCGTCACCCGAACGGTTACAACGTCTCCTTCCCAACTGTCTTCCAACCCTTTTCATGCTGACACGTGTCCTCAGCAGACCAAAATTATCCTTATATTTCACTCTTTGAGCCGACCACAGACCTTCCGCTCTTTTGGCCCGACTTCATCCTTCACCCGACCTGCTTCTTCGCCCGACCTCACTTGGGCCGACCTCCGCATCAGCCGCCCTCCGTCTTTGACCGAAGACCTCCGCATCTGTCCGTACCTCTTCCTTGCCCGACCTTCCTCTTAACAGACCTCTGCGTCTGCCCGAATTCGGTCTGGATTTGGATCAATTCTTGAGATCTTACCTTTCTTCCTTTTCCCGACCTGAAAGCCTCCCGACCTGCGGACTTCCCGTCCTAATGACTTTCCGTCTTGAGGCCTTACCGACCTGAAGACCTTCCGTCCTGAGGTCTTTTCATCTTGAGGACCTCCCGACCTGAAAACCTTCCGACTTGAGGTCTTTCCGTCTTGAGGACCTACCGACCTGAGATCCTTCCGACCTGATGACTTTCCGTCTTGAGGACCTCCCGACCTGAAGACCTTCCGACCTGAGGTCTTTCCATCTTGAGGACCTCCCGACCTGAAGACCTTCCGACCTGAGGTCTTTCCATCTTGAGGACCTCCCGACCTGAAGACCTTCCGACTTGAGGTCTTTCCGTCTTGAGGACCTATCGACCTGAGATCCTTCCGACCTGAGGTCTTTCCGCCCTGAGGACCTTCCGACCTGAGGTCTTTCCGCCCTGAGGACCTTCCGCCTTGTATTTTCCTTAGAAATAAATCTATTTTCCTTGATTTCCTCACGGTGTCCTTCAGCCAGTTCAATCAACCCCATTGTTAGGCCCATTCTTTTTTTTACCTTGGGCTTTTAACCTAATTCTAAATTTCGTACGTAACAGTAATATATTAATTTTTTAAAAAGAAATATTTGGTTTTTAGTTTGGTTTGAAAATTTTGAGATGAGTTTGATTTTTATTTGAATTTTAAAATGAGTTTGAATTTAGATGTTTCTTTTTTGTTTGGATTTGGTTGGAATTTGAAGAATTTTGATGTGTAATTGATTTGATTATAAATTTATATTATATTTATATATTTTTTAAATTTTTTTTATAATATTGTATTATAAAATTTTTTATTATCTACCATTTCTTTTATATTTATAATTAAAAAAAAAAAAAGGACAGATGAGTCTATCCCCAAACGCCTGCCTCCGGTCCAGTTTTAGGTTGAATGACTGTGCTAAATACTATTTGTACAATGATCCAATCCAAAGCTGGGCTGGAGAAACAACCCTAGTTTTTTCGTACACTTCTCCTATAATTTACAAATATCTAAAAAACTACAAATTGATACTTTACTTGTTACTACAAATTGATACTTTACTTGTTAATGTAACATTGCATTCATTATCAGTAATGAAATAATCTATACTTTCAACCTCAAACCACTCGGTGACAGGTAAAATTACTATTTAGTCTCAAAGTGATAGGTATAAACAAGATATTTGACTCTTCTTTGATAAATAGTATTAAAATTTTCCACCATTCAACAAAAAGCAGCAGCCCCAACCTCTGTAGGTAATTTTTGTACATATATATATTCTTATTATCTCTGCCATATAGTCAGATAATTCAAAGACAAAGCAAAAACACCCCAAAATGACAAATCTAAAACACACCTGACAGAAACTGTTCTTCCCTATACCCTTATAAAGAGGCTGCTGCTAATTATACCTTTCTATCATCTTTACCACCATACCTGATCAGTTCCCAACAGAGACTCCACCGACCGGAGATTCCGCCGGCGCTGGAGATCCCGCCGCACCATTGCTGCTGCTGCTCCCTTTGTTAACAAATGCTGACTCCGCCAAATCGATGGCCCGGGCAAGGCCGGCAGCCTTCCGCTCGCATTCCAGCTGCTCGTCGTCAGGACGACTATCGGCAACAATTCCGGCTCCGGTCTGGATATGCGCCACCCACTCGCGGCGCTGGGATCCATTTTTGTAGGAAAACATTGTGTCGTGATGGGGGCTGGTGGGGAACACTATCGTCCGGAGGGCAAGCGCAATGTCCAAATCTCCGGTGAAGGAGATTCCTCCGAAGCCGCCGCTGTATGGGCCGCGCCGTGTTTTTTCTAACTTGTCGATCAGCTCCATCGCCTTCACCTGAAATTTATTACAAGACATCGCACCGATGATCGAAAGATTATTAGCCATGCATGATAGACATGGAGTAGTTACGGGTATACCTTTGGAGCTTTTGACACTATTACCAAATTTTGACTATTGCTGATTTTTTTTTTTAACTTTTATGAAAATATTAGTCTAAACGGTTATGTTGTCGAGTTCAATCATTCGGTATGTTGTCGAGTTCAATCATTCGGTTTTTGCGTTCAATTTTAGTGCATAAAAATCGATGATAGTAAAGATAGAGTAGCTACCTTCGGCGCGCCGCTAACCGTTCCGACAGGCAATGCAGCGCGGAGAGCCTCCCATCCTGTAAGATGATCCAGCAATTCTCCGGTGACCTGTAGGCGCAATATGTCACGAATGTTGTAGGGAAAGTTTCGGATTTTATTATTAAGAACATATTTGAGACTATATATCATTACCGTAGAGCTGATGTGCATCACATGCGAATATCTCTCGACGTTCATAAGCCTTTCTACCTTCACAGAACCGTATTTCGAAACCTACATAAGAACAGATAACATCATTGAAAAGATAATCAGAATGTGTATAAACATTTAAATATGATCTTTCATCAGCCATGGATGGATCTAAGAAACCTTTCCGACGTCGTTCCTGCCAAGATCAACGAGCATAGTATGCTCCGCACATTGCTTTTCGTCGCTTAGAAGCATCCTCTCGAGCATCTCATCCTCGTCCAAAGTCCTCCCTCTTCTAGTTGTACCCGCCAAAGGTCGATTAACAATATGTTTCTGTCGACAAATACAACTATAAGATAACATACTAGTTCACATTAAACAAACAAAATGATTAATCGCAAAAAATCAGTTGGAAAATTGAAATTTACGAGTTCACCTTCTTTGAGCGAGTAAGAATTTCCGGGCTTGAAGCAACCAGAATGCAGCCTCTGCCCTGAAACAGAAGTAAGCAAACAAAATGAAATCTCAGTCACCTATATCGATTGAGAACATAGTGATAAGAGATTTTCACACATAACAATAGTACAATCAATACCTGTATGTAAGCCATATATGGACTTGGATTCACAGATCTCAAAGATCTGTATATTTCGAAAGGATCAGCAAAAGTTCTTCTTTCAAAGCGCTGACTCAAGACGATCTGAAAAATATCTCCGGCCAAAATATGTTCCTTCGCTTGTAAAACAGCACCCATGTATTCCTCTCTTGTCATGGTGCTGTTTTTTAGAGGAGGTCCGAATTCATGGGTGTGTAAATCAATATAACCATGAGGTATCCTAGGACTGCGAAATGAAGATAAATTAATGCATTAGCAAATGCAATAAAATCGTTGAATTTTTACGAGATTGAGTAAGGCAAACTTACAGATCAACCCTTTGCACTTTAGAAACTATTGATTCTAATCGTTCCATTCCATCAGCATAAGCCTTTTCAGCAGACGAATATTTATTCAACCGTACCCAATGAATGACATAAACTTTCTGAGGAAAAAACGAGCAAGATATTATTCACAGTCAATTACAAGAACACAGAGGACCTGGAAGAGAAGTTACAATGTACCTTGTCGACATGATCGAAAACAAGGATATCATCATAGAGACCAAGATGAATGTCAGGTAGGTTCCTATCATCAATCGGCGCACTTGAGAATGACAGCTTTTTCTTCTCCACATAGCGAACCGTATCATACGAAAAGAACCCGACCCATCCACCTGTCAAATAAGGTATGTCATTAGAGTAGCTTTGACTTTGAAAATACATATTCGTAAGCCATGATACAGTTTGTAAATGAAAAATGAGGGGCTTATGATCCACAAATTAAATGTTTAACATGTTTTGAGTCAATTTTATGCCCGTCTTTCAATAAAGCAACTAGGTAGGGCATGAAGTTTAGGATAAAGATTTATTTTTTCCCCTGAAAATGGCCCAGAAAGCTATGAATGAGGCACGCTCAGACCTCCCTACGAAACAAGTAGTTACCATCAGCAAAACACTTGCATTCAGTTGCGATTGATAATTAATTACTTGACAACATTAACCTAAGCTATCTTTTTTCTTAAACACAACAGAAATGTCTAGCTTAGAGGATCATCCTTGACTTTGATTGTGATCATTTAAGTAACTTGAGTATTTCGCTATCGACTATGTATGTAAGGTAACATCAGAAGGTCAATGCACTACCACGTGAGCTCAACATTAATCAGCAGCTGACTCGCAAAAAACACGTGTTCCATGAATTCGTTATGGCTAACGAATGCAGGCAAAATATTATAATTGCGTCGATTATGCATCTACCATTTGTCGGTTGCAGCACATATAAGTGATATACCGGAATTACCATTTTTAGTTAGTTACGACAAAAAGAGTATCACTTAATTGTAACAAACCACATTAGAACCCTCGAATTCTAGTTACATCCAGATGAAAGTCTATATTTTCCGGCCAATCTCGACTTACAAGACATTCTTTCATAACATTAAACTGCAAGCTGCAAGCCTCAAAACCAACTTTTAACGGGAAGCCATAAATGATGGTGGATCAACTACACTACACACATGTACTATCAAATGCTAATTAACGACTATCTAAACCAAGATACGGTATATCAAACAAGAATTAATGGATCAAAAAGAATGGACACCAAATAAAGTACTTACCACAAAATGCATCTGGAAGTTCATCGATCAACTGAGGGGTCCAACCTTCAGAAATGCTTCTAGGAACAGTCATCGGATCCTCCACCAGCTTCTCAATTATCTGCCCAGATTCATGATCTAGAATTGTAACCATGTTCTCCTTAGCTAAAACTTCCATAGCCGGCCTTGCCCCAACCACACTGTATCGACCCTGAATAAAATCATGACAATGATCGTCAAATCATCCCTCTATGTGAGAGCACTCATTTAACTATAAAACAATAATCACTACAGAAAACATTCGATTCTTACAACAGTTGCATGAAAACCGGGCTCCACAGATTCGAACAGAAAGCTTGGAGCCTCCCGATCATCTTCAAGAACTAAGGATCTGTAAGCTATCACCGGAGTCAAATGATCTGAGAATATACACTTAAACAGAGGAATGACGTTTCCCCTCTCCGACGCGTCAACAAATCTCTTCTCATCCACCTCTGAATTGAAAAGCACACAAAAAATAAATCACGAAATCAGAGAAAGAGGAAAGCAAACATCAACAGTAAATCGCCACCTTAATTATACAACAACCGCATAAATTCTGCATAGAACAAATAAATCCAGTCCCAATAAAAGCAAACTCTTCAATTAGCTCCAGAACCACAAACAAAACTCTAAAAAATTCAATTCAATTAAAACTCTATCCAACTCTGCAGCCTGCAGTCTCCGAGGAACAAACAAAAAGCCGTAAATGCTCTCCAAACCGCACCAACAAACGCACACCACCACCATCAATTAAACTCCGCCGGAAAACAATAACCACCGTAATGCAGCAATATAAACAAAAGATATGCAAACCTAAACGCGAAGATTCCGAAGCACAGCACTTCACCGCCCCACGCCGGAATGTAACCGCCGAAGTTCTCCGACCTCCTACTGAAATAACACCATTCGCCGCACCAAATAGCTTCCGAATCGCCGGAGACGGCCCGTGAGTTACCGTTAAAGCCTGCATTTCCGCTCCCTGAGGTGAAGCTTCACCACACAACAGACTGAGAGAAAGCGAGAGAGAGAGAGAGAGAGCAAAAAACTAAATGACAGACAATACTTTGCACTGAACTGTGAATACTGAGTGTAAGACGCTGTATTTATAATAAAAATTAATTATTCTTTATGTTTTTGTTTGAAAAAATTTCTATATAGAAAAGGAATATTTTTTATTAAAATAAAATAAAACAAAAAATATTAATAAAATACAGAAAAATTATAGTAATATACTAAATTTCTTTACATACATACTTTAAGAAATTCTGGCTATATTCATTAATATAATTCTCTTTTTACAATCTTATATGAAATCTAACAAAATATCATATTATATTATATAATAGTAATACTTTTATTATTTTTAATTTTTTTTTAAAATTTAAGGATATATTTATTTAATTTTTAGTTTAAAATATTTTTTATATAAAATATGATCAATTATATAAATAATATTTTATTTTGAATTATTGAAATTTATAGGAATAAAATATAAATAGCAAATATAATAGTACCAACCAAAAATTAATTTAAAAGAAAAAACCCTAAAAAAATTTCAAATATTTATCCAAAATAGAACCTAAAAAAAAATTAATTGTAATAGCAATAGCAGTACAGCTTTAACTATAAAATAAAATGGTTAAATGAATGGGCCCACTTAGGATTTGGTGGGGCCCTAGTACTGTTTTTTCGTTTTTTTTTTAAAACTGTAATAACTTATGACTATTCTAAGTATGGATAATTTTAAATTTAATAAGGGCGTGTTTGTTTTAAATTTAATTAGATATTTTATTATTTTTTTAGATAATATTTTAATATAATCGTTTCTGAATATATATATATATATATACATTCTTATTAAAACTTAAAATGAATTGTGTGGTGTTAGTTTTGAAACCATTACTTATGGTTATGAAATTTTTTCTTTTAAGGATTTTTGAGTTTTTTTATTATTTTTTTTCAATATAAATTTAAATGATATGGTATTTAAGTTAATTTTGAGATATAACGTAAGTTTGATTTAAAATGTGTATTAAAATATTTTGGTAAGGATATAATTTAATAAAAATATAATTATTATTTTTTTTTTTTTATCATCAAGGGTTGATTTATTAGTACATTTTATAGTTTGTTTTATTTTGATTTGAATTTAAATTTTAGTTTAAACATAATTTTAATATAATATTTTATAGAAAAATAAAATAAAATATCTTTATTAAGTAACCATATAGATTGAAATAAAACTAAAAATACAATTTTTCAAAAAATTCCCTTGCCTTTTTTCTTACATTACATGAAATGATTATCATTCAAAAATAGAAAAATAATAAATTTACAGAAAAAAAAAAAAAAAAAACACACACACATTTTGACCAATATTTTCCTCAAGAGTAATTTATAATTATATTCATGCATTTGAATTACTAAAGTTGAACAGGCATGTGTAATCTACTATTTTTATAATTTTAATAAATATTGTTTCCAAATAAATGCATTTGAATTTTGTTTCCTAAAATCAATAAATTTCCATCTCAATCTTAATTTCAACTTTTTTATTTTTATTTTTTTGTCTGTTTTGCAAAGTGTGTTTTGTATATCTATATTCCAAATTTATACAATAACATGAAAAAACTATTTAGGGTGTGTTTGTTTGACGGGTTTGTTTGGATATTCACTGTTCATCCTATTTTTTCCCCCAAAAATATCAAATCAAACACCTATTTTTTATTTTTTATATTATATTAAAAATCAATTTTACATTCAAAATATCACATCAACACTTATTTATATCACATTATACAACTATTCAAATTTAAAATTTTTACTATTCAAATCTCGATCCAAAATCCAAACCCACAAACAAACACACCCTTAGAATCTTTAAATAAAAACTCCCGACACTTTTAACTCACCTGCCACACATGGTTCGTCTAGTGTGTCTTTCTCGTCGGGTCTGGATTACAGGGTATTAGGTTCGGCAAGTTTATCTATTGCGTACTTTCGAGTAGCGGTTGCGGGTCCCACTTCGTAAAAAAAAAAAAGAAAAAAAAAGACACGCTTACCAAAAGCCTAGCAACAACTTTCAAAATAACTCTTTCAAAATTAACTCAAAAGTTATCTAAATAAAGTATAAACTTTGATAGTAACTTCATAATAAGTATTGACCTTCCCATAACATTTTATTGTACAGAATAGTTTTAAATCTACAATTTTATAAAAATAAATATAAAAATAATTTTTTAATACATAATTAGTTTATTTTGAATTTAAATTATAGTAAAATAACTGGCAATATTTATGCCTATCCATATAAATAATCTGTTACTAAAATTTTATTTATTTATGAATTATTTTAATAAATACTCATGTACTAAAATTTAATATATTTATTATTATTTTAATATTAAAATAATTAAATTTTATATATCACATATATATTCAAACATTTTTTTGAATTTAAATTATAGTAAGATAGATTGCAATATATATGTCTATAATATAAAATATTTGTTACTAAAATTTATTTATTTACGAATTACTTTAATAAAATGTACTGGAAAACAGAACAGTAAATAGAAATTATAACCTATACCATTTTCAACTTATCTATATCTGTTTGCACAACTTCAGTTTAAAAAACCCCATCCGCAGTTTGGGAAGACACTAAGGTTGTGTTTGTTTGGGGTTTGAATTTTGAGTTAGGATTTGAGTAGTAAAAATTTTGAATTTGAATAGTTGTATGATGTGATATAAATAAGTGTTGATGTGATGTTTTGAATATAAAATTGATTTTTAATATAATATAAAAATAAAAAATAAATGTTTGATTTAATGTTTTGAAAATAGAAAAAATGGGATGAACAATGAAAATCTAATCCAAACCCCAAGGCTGATTATTGTGCAAGCTGAATGTGTTTTTTAATTTAAAATATTTAAATAATAATTTCTTTAATATTTATAATAATTATAGGTTAGAAAAATATATACAAGTGTTATTTTTGTAAAAAATAAAATTTTCTATAATACAAATAAATACAAATTTTAAAATGTATATGTTAAATATAATATAAAATCATAATCAAATCATACTACTATTAATTTTATCAATTAAATTAATATATTATTATTATTATTATTATTATTATTTTATTACCTATCAAATCAATATATATCTAAATTCTTAAAACTCAAACCAAACCTAAATACAAAAAAGAAACAAATAAACTCGTAAAATAAAAATCAAAGTCAAACCCAAATTTCTATGAGCGTAAGATTGGAGTCCAGATCTGCACCAACCTTCACTGGACCATCGACTTCTAATATGGTTGAATGAAGATCTTCTGCTTTCGATGCATACGGCTTAGTCGCCCAAATAATTTTGCACACGGAAAAAACAGATATCCTATTCACTAAGGGTGTGAATTTTCTCCCAAATCCACTGTTCAAATCAAACTTTTATTTATATCACATTATACAATTATTACAATTCAAAAGTTTTATTATTCAAATCCCAACTCAAAATAGAAACTCCACACACGAACCCACTTTAAAAAAACCCAAAAAAATAAAACTTAAAATTTGATTCAAATTCACCATAAAAGATTGTGTTTGTTCTTCTAAGGGTGTGTTTGTTTGGGGGTTTGGATTTTGAGTTGAGATTTGAATAGTAAAAATTTTGAATTTGAATAGTTGTATGATGTGATATAAATAGGTGTTGATGTGATGTTTTGAATGTAAAATTGATTTTTAGTATAATATAAAAAATGAAAAATAGGTGTTTGATTTGATGTTTTTGGGGAAAAAAAATAAGATGAATAGTAGAAATCTTTACAAATCCTTCAAACAAACACACCCTAAAAGTAAACTTGAATTTTTTTGTCATTTCTGGCCCGACACACCAATAAAAGGGTCGTGTTCGAGTCCTGATTTAAAAAAATCACCACCATGTTGATTTTTAACATCGGACCCGTTTATATGTACAAATAATATATATTATTATTACACACAACACATATTGTGTATAAAAATATATATTTTTTTTATTTTGTAAAATATTTTGAAATAATATTTTGTTTAGTGTGTAAATAATATAAAAATAATAAAGAATATATGTGATATGTTAATTTTTTTTCAAAACAAACACATCTCTAATTTCATCTATCCTAATTCTAAAATGTACATGGTTGATGATGCTATTCCCAATTCATTTGAATATCTACAAAACCATCGTCTGATGAAGGGGAAGGGGAAGAGAAATGGTACCGTACTCTCCTACGCCTTCTTTCGTGTCTACACCACAATCGCGAGACCGTACTCTCCTTTGGCTGTGCGTCCCGTCCTCTTTTGGCCATTCTAATTTTTAAATACTCTCTCCGTCTCTAAACTATAGTTTGGATTAGTTATTAGTGTAAAAAGATTAAATATTTTTACTAGTGTGTTAGTGTAAAAAGTATAAACAATTGTATAATAATAATAAAAAAATAAATATAGTTTTATAGTGATATGATTATTTATGAAAATAAAACTATTGTTTTAATACGGTCAAAAATGTTAAACTACAGTATTGTATTGGAACGAAGGAATATAATTTATAAAATTCTAAATATATTAGAAAATTTTAATAAAAAATATATTATTTACATTACTATATTCTATTAGGTCATTTTAATATTTTAAAAATACTTTTAATTTTATTATATCCAAACATTTTTTTTTATAAAAAATTGCTTTTATAATTATTCATTCAAATATAAAATCGATCTGATTCTTCTTTTGACTTCTATTTATTTTTTAAGCTAATCCAAACAACCATAAAAATTAGAAAAAAAAAAAAAAGAAGAAGAAGGATAATTCATTATAGAGTTTGATATTGAATTTTTATTTAAATTTTGATTTGAATGTATTTTTTATTATCATTTTTTTAAAAATGAAACAGTAATTTTTATTTTTGTTTTTCCTATAAGAATTGCTATAGAGTTAAATATATATAAATAAAAAATTTAAATCTCAAAATAAAGGATATTTGTATTTTGGATTTTGTAGAGTTTTAAGTATGAATTTCAGAATTTCTATCTTTTTTATATTTCTATCTTTGTATATGTTTATTTATAATCAAATAAGACGAAATTGAAGCTGGTCAGAAATGAAGCTTAAGGATAAGTTAGTACATATAAATCCACTAATTAAGAAGATAGAGAAGAAAGTAGGATGATTTTTTTTTTTTTTTTGGTATAAATATATATATATATTATTATTTTTTTAATGAAACAATAGTTAGTCCTAATATTTTTAAAGAAAAAATAATTACATTTTCATTAAGAACAACAATGCTATATAATAAAGAAATCATAATTCTTTTACACCTCTAAATCGTGCTTACCACACAAGGCTTACATAGTTTAATATTTTCAGAGTATTATTTTATGAGTGTGTATGGAATTTAATTTTTTTTTTTTTTTTTTAAATTCTCAATGACTCCTTATAAATATATTATTCTCTCTCATAAATTTGAACATTTAAACTACTATTTATCTATAAAAAAAAAAAAAAAAATCAAATTTGAAAAGAACAAACAATATATAATTGTTTCAATAAAGTAAAAAACACACCAATAATTTCCAATTATAGCCATGCTTCTTATGTGTAAGCTTTTAGCTTGAGTTCTTTATTCTTTTACCTAGTAAAATTCATCTAAAAAGAACAATCACAATTAGTATAAAAAATTATTGTATTTAGTAATTGTTTTGCAAAATAATTATATAATATGATATATTTATATAGAAAACCGAACGACTATATAGTACAAAAAAATCAAATAAAAAAGAAAAGAAAAGCTCATCTGTATAATGTATTTTTTAATATTATCACCATCAAATTGGTGTTGGGCTAAGGCCCAAATTAATTTTTTAATGGACCAGTTGGGCTTAGTCAGAGCCCATCATATATATATTATATATATAGAAGATGAAATAAGCACTCACCCTCCACATACTATTTATATTTCAAATATTTATTTATTTTAATGGTGTATGATTGCAACTCAGCTCTCTGCAAAATACTTATTATCTAAATTAAAATTCAAATCTAACAACAAAAATAAAAAAATTCTCATAAAAATATCATATATAATCATCCACTATATATATCACCAAGCAAATAAATCATTTGTTTAGGTACTTTGGTTGTAAGAATTTAAATTAAATAATTAAAAAAAAAAAGAAAAGAAAGACATGCAACCACACCCTAATTTGCTCATACTTATTTCCAACTGCACATATCTATGCTGCAAACCTAAGTGTATTATATGTTGTGTATATATATATACATATAGAGAGAGATTGTGTATGTGATTAAGAGAGAGAGAGAGAGTAATTATATGATCACGCAGACATAGATACATACATCTTAGAAACATATTTAAATCATAAATTGAAGACTCAAAGAACAAAGAACATGAACACAATCAAGAACAATATCAAAACAAGAAAAATTTTGATCAAAAGCCACCTGTTTGATGATATTTGATTCAAGTATTTAAGCAGGGCATTGCTGGCACCTTCAACATTTGCTAGTGACTCATCCATGTTGTCGTCGATCCTGCTCGTTTCGATCCCACCAAATAAACATCATAATACTACTCGAGGATTTAAAAACTAAATAGCTAAATGAATGAATAGTTGATTGGGTAATTACCGGATAGCTAGCTCGCCTTGATGTGCGACCATAGTAGCAAGATGTGTGAAGATCCCACTGAGTTCTGATATCGTAGATTCGACATTTTGAAGGGCAGTTGCTCGGCTTTGAGAGATGCTTTCTTGATGTGGAACCATTTGCTGAACCATGGACATGGAGGCCTCGACTTGGGGGGATGGGCTGGCGCCATCTGTACCCATTCTTCGTCTGATTTTGGATCATTAAGTCAGGACAAGAGGATAAAGTAATGCATCATTTTACCAACACGCTCTTACAAAGAATCATGTTACCTAAGCTGATTTCCAGATTGAGCGCCGCTTCCTTTTGGCCTGGATATAGACGAGCATAAAGAATGTAAGAGTCATCGATGAATCATCTCGAAATAATCTAATATTAATCTGAGCAGAATTTTACAACAACATTATTTCTTCCTCTGCATTTGTGATTTACTTTGATTCACATTCTTTGAAATTGGGGTAAAGTGATCTACTTTGTTGACATATACACAGACAATAACAAATAGCTGATGATTTGTGATTTTGATCAATGACTAAAAGTTAAGATTGAGGCAAAATAATTAAAACATAACAACAGAATGTAAAGAATTACACTGATGGTTGTGTATTTCCTCCAGACGAATTGAGCGAATTTGACCAAGGAGGTGGTTCAGCCATTGCATTCGAGGGCTGCTTTAAAGGGTTTTCTCTTGAGACAACTGTAGAAAATAGCTGTTTCCTGTTCTCATGAGCCTTGATGTTCTGTCGAAAAGAGAAGTTGGTCAGGAAGAAGAAGAAGAAGCTAGTATTTCTGCTTAATAGTCCAAACAAACCTCAATGAATATAGAAAATGTACCTTTGTTCTAGCAGTCAAGACTTCTTGGAATTGCTTAGTCACATTCATAAGTCTGTTCTTCAAATCATCAAAAACAGCATTCAAATGAACAGCTCTATCCCCTGAATAATTCCCATCGCCGATCTCCATGCTTTGGAGAGTTTGCAAATCAGAGATACCCACATTTAGCGCGGTAATATCATTTTTAATCAAGGCAGTTAATTCTTCATTTTCCTTGCTCCGGTCGTCAAAAATAGATGACCTTTTGGTTACTGCACATTCAAACTATGCAGTTTAACAATTGAAAACAATGAAATACAAAATTTCATTACAAAGACATAATGGTGTCTAATGCTCTTCAAAATGATTCTTCTTGTCATGATGGATTGAAAATTGAAACATCAGACCGAAAAGTATTAACTGCTAATGGAGAGCATTTTGTAATAACAATAATGGCCAATCTCAAGTGAAAATTTCTTTACATTATAACATGAAAAGCTGAAAAAAGATAAGACAGGCCTCCATGAGAGAGCAGAAAGATCAGTAACAGATCTAATAGCTGAAAGTTTTCTACCATGTGAAGACCAAAAGGTCCCAAATACATCTGACAAATGAACTGTGATCACTGGAAGCATTCAGAAAGCAAAAAAAATTTCCTTGATTAATTGATCTTTACATTGTAATACAACATAAAGATTAATTAATGTAGAGAATCAACTTGCCCTAAGAGGACTATAGTCCAATAAAATCAAGTGCAAGAGGCTAGTATTAAGCGCATCTGAAAATTCAGGAATATGAAGAACTAAGTTGCAAGTTATATACAATAGCTCAATACAAACTGTGCCTGGACCAGACTATAATTCTACGGAATGCGCATAGCTTTTCTTATAATTAGGAAGTTGAGATGCGTGAACATCCACGCACATCAATTCAATCAACCACAACACCTTGCTATCTGTAACTACTGTTCTAAACGATAGGAATCATCATTCAAAGACTTCATACAAGCAACCACAAGCTTACAACTACCGTGAAGATTCCATCCCCAGGTACTGATCAGCAGCTAAATTTTGTATCCAAAAAATGAAAGAGAAAATTAAAAAAGCAGCCGGAGTAGAAAAAAAGCTTACGTTTCGACAGACGGTCGATTTTCTGCGATGTTTGGTGGATCCGAAGGCCTAACCTGGAAGCCGCCTTGTTGAATTCAGATCGATCCGGAGTCGCCGCAACAGGCTCGTTTGATTGCGATTGGATCGGAGTCGCCACATTTCCACCAATTCTCCTCAACGTATTCGCTAAAGAGACGAATTCCGACGTCCGATCTCGGAACGGCGAAACACCGGCGGCCGCCATGTAATCGACGGTGAGATGATTTCTCCCCCTTTTCGCGGAATCGCCCAATTGCTTCAGAATCGTATGATTAAATGGAAAAGCGCATTTCACGTCATCAGCTCTCAAGTAAGCGTCAAATAGGATGGTAAACAATTAGAATGATTTTGTTCTAAATATTCGAAATTTTATAATTTCGGACATAGATATTCCATGGATTCGAATATAAATCAAATATAATTATTGAATTTTAATATTTGTTGATATTAGTAAATGTTTGATTAAATAATAAAATGTCGATTATATTTTTGTATTAGTTTTGGAAAATAGTAATATCATTCATTTTTCAAACTATAATCAACCAAACAGTATACATTGATATTTTTCAAATTAAATAAAAATTAAGTATATAAAATAATTAAAATTAAAATTATACAATTAAAGTATCGGATTTTAAATAAAAATATAAATGATATTATTAAAATTATATTATTAAATCTAATTGAATAGTTTAAAATTCATGTTAAATTAAATATGAATATTATTTTAAAAATTAAAATAAATAAAATATCAAATCAAATAGTCGTAAATTTTATGAATATCGGGTAGAACCGTACAATTAAAATTATAATTCCTATTGGGCTAAGCTAAACCCTAATAATTGGCCCATTTAGGCCCAATTATAATTACGGCCCGAAATAAAATACACCCATGATTAACGAATTTCCGAAATTCACTCACAGCCATCCAATTTAGGTAAATTCATTTCACTTTCATGCGACTACGTATATAATATTACTGCGAGTAACCGTCAGGGTTTTACTGCCTCAGACTTCCTCCGGCGCTGAATTTCAGAGTTACGACGCCGTCGTTGTGGTGGCCGTCGTTCTGTAGATCTCGTTCACTTCTCAAATCCTTACTTTTCGACGGTTTCGGAGATTTTTGGTTTGATAAATGGCTCCTAAACGTACCAAGGCGGAGAAGAAGGTCGCCTATGACCAGAAGCTATGCAAATTGCTCGACGAGTACACGCAGGTTCTGGTGGTGGCGGCGGATAATGTTGGTTCGACTCAGATGCAGAGCATTAGGAAGGGATTGAGAGGACATTCGATCGTCCTCATGGGTAAGAACACTATGATGAAGAGGACTATCAGGCTTCATGCGGAGAAGACCGGAAACGAGGCTATTCTCAACCTCATTCCTCTGCTTGTTGTAAGTGTTCTCATCAGATTTACATCTGGATAGATGAAAAAGTTCTGAATATCTGTTGCTGTATCGTTTTTTCTGGAATCCACCGGTCTTCTGATCTTATTCTGAATATCTGTTGCTGTATATTTGCGACAATTTATTTCTTCTTTTCATTGTTGATGTGAATCTGTGATGATTTTTATTTCGTTGAGCTTCGAACAATATCAGTTGCGTGAAAATGTCTTCATTTTGGTACTTCGCTTAATTTGGATGAACTCACTCTTTCAAGTTTCAATCCTTTGTTGAACAATTCTGCTCTACTACTACTTGGATAGGGAAATGTTGGACTGATCTTCACCAAGGGCGATTTGAAGGAAGTCAGTGAAGAGATTGCTAAGTACAAGGTGAATGAAATTCAGTTTTCGTACTTCGAAGCCAAAAATTTCCCCTAATTTCCGCTCGATACATATTTCATGAACACCAAACTGATCTGATCACTTTCCAACAGGTTGGAGCTCCTGCTCGTGTTGGTTTGATTGCTCCAATCGACGTCATCGTGCCGCCTGGAAACACTGGCCTCGATCCATCACAAACATCGTTCTTCCAGGTCTTCATCAATGATCTATTTCACTCAAAAAAACAATCTCATGCTTAGAAATTCGATACACAATTTCATGATGTGTCCTTCTTCCAGGTTCTCAACATTCCTACTAAGATCAACAAAGGAACTGTGGAAATCATCACACCAGTGGAGCTTATTAAGAAGGGCGATAAAGTCGGATCATCCGAAGCTGCCTTGCTCTCCAAGCTTGGAATCAGGCCATTCTCATATGGCCTAGTCGTCCTCTCTGTTTATGACAACGGCTCTGTTTTCAGCCCCGAGGTTCTCGACCTCACAGAAGATGACCTTGTCGAGAAGTTCTCCAATGGCCTTTCCATAGTTACTGCTTTTTCGCTCGGCATCTCTTACCCAACGCTTGCAGCTGCACCACACATGTTCATCAATGCATACAAGAATCTCCTCGCCATTGCAGTCGAAGGCGACTATTCGTTCCCGCAAGCCGATAAAATCAAGGAGTATCTTGCAGTATGTATTGTTTGATCATATTGTTTGTCCAAATTCACCTGGTTTAAGCTGAATTGAAGTTCCTGATCGTTTTTATTGATGCAAACTATGCAGGATCCCAGCAAATTTGCAGTGGCTGCTCCGGCAGCCGCTGCTGCCGGTGGCGGTGGAGCCCCGGCCGCTTCTCCGGCCGAGGAGGAGAAGAAAGAGGAACCTGCTGAGGAGTCTGATGATGACATGGGATTCAGCCTGTTTGATTAACTTAGCCATAGACTTTGAAGGTTAGCTTATTTCAGTATGGATTTTCAAGAAGTATTTTTTCTTTGATTAATTGCTTTTCTTGAGCTTAGAGTTTAATCATTTTAATTTTTAGTATGGATTATGATTAAATCTGCTACTTGCACGAATTGAATTATATTGATTTTGATTAAATTTGCCTTTCACATAAATGATATGATATCTTGCGGTTCAATTTTCTTGGAAAATAAATAAATAAATATAAGGGTGTGTTTTGGTTTGATTTTCTTACAGGAAATAACGGGGAATAATAAATATAATTTAATTTGTTTAATATCAAACAATATTCAATTTCAAGATTTCTTTATCTAAAATTTAAACCCAAACTTCCAAACAAAAATAAAAATTTATATAGATATCAGTTAAATTTATAAAAATGAATTAATTTTTTTCATCATATACCATTTTTATAGAAATTAATATAAAATGAAGTGATGTATGTAATTACAATTTCTTTCTTTTTATATGAACTTTATCATTTACAAAATGGCATCTCCATTGAATACATTTGATTGAAGTATAAGTTTTAAAATATATTTTAAATTTATTTTTAATCAAATATACATTATCAAATTTAATTTATAACTAAATAATATTTCATTATGCAACAATAAAATCGAATTTTTTCAAACAATTTTCAACATGCAATTATATTTATATCAACAATCTATAACTTATATATTGACAATCAACATCATATTAATTAATAAAAAAGATTCCATGCCTTAAAAGAACTTTGCCATGAATTAAAAAGCGACTTCATATGTGTTTCATTTAATTAATTAATTAGTAATACTAATCACTAGTGTTTAGCTGAATTTGCTAATCCTTTGATTTTGGAGACTATCATATCAGACTATGATATGATAGATAGATATTTTAATATATGCTGTGAATTAATAAATAAATAAATAAAAAAGTATGGTAAACCATGAAACTAATTTATTGTAAAAGTTAAATATGTATAATTTCAGCTAATCAAAGTTTAGTCTAAAGTGCAAAAATATATATGTACAGCAAAGAGAAGAGGTACTCTTAATTGTCAAAAGAAACCTTTTTTTATTTTTATTTTTTAAAAAAAGAAATAAATTATTGTACTCTTTTCCCTTAAAAAAGAAAAAAAGTGACAAACACATAAAAGATCAATATTTTTACATGTTTTTCCTCTTGAGTTAATATTGCCTAATGTATTTAGAGTGTGAATATTTCAAAAAAAATCAATAATTCCACTTTATTATTAATATATAGACCTCACCTTTTCTAAATGCCCTGTCAAATCTCTCTCAATAGATTCTTGAAACTTTTTTTTTTTCAATTAATAAAAAAATTAAAATGGTATCTTGGTGATTATTAACCATCATTGGAAAAAAAATAAAAAAATACTGGTCATAACAATAATAATATTTTATCCATCAATAAAAAGTATGCTCAAAATATTTGAACATAAAAATTAAAAGAAATAAGCTACTTTTCACCGAATGAAAATTAAATTATAATAGAAGTAATAACATAAATTTTAAATTGTGTAAAAATATACTTTACTATAAATAGTTAAAAATTAAAAAAATAATTAATCTTTTTCTATTACCTAGTATGATAGCTTCTTTTTTTTTTTTTTTTTACCTAAACTTTTCCAACATATTTTTTTATAAAAATATTAATATATTACAAATATTTATTATTTTAATTTTATTTACGTAATTTACTATACCTGATAAAGTGATAATTGGTGTAAAAAGGTTTTAAAAAATTAAAATATTCTTACTTCATATAATTATTGTGATAAAGTAAAAATAATTTTGTAAAAAAATAACGAGTTAATTAGAAAATATTATTTTAATGAGACTATTATTTTGATAATTTTTTAAAATCAAACCACAAAACAAACACACTAAACATATATATATATATTTATTTATTTATGAACCGAGTAATAATTTAGTATGATAAAACAATAGTAAACCAAGCACAATATAATAATAATAATAATAAAAGGCAATAATTGCAGAGGACACACAGTGCCAAAATCTTTTATATTCCCTGTGAAATAACAATAAATAATGATAGAGGGCTTGCTGACAACACAAAGTGATTCTGATTGTTCAATTTCAACATTTGATAGCAGCCACCACAAACAATCACCCCTCCATCATTATTATACTCGTATAATTATTATTCTTATTTTTATAAAATAAAATAATTTTCTAAATAAAAATAAAAATAAAAAACAAAGCAAGCAAATATATATATGTACATATTGACATACAAAAATAAAAAGAAAATCCAACCAACCATTTATATGAAGTGCCAAATCACAATCCACAGTCTTGATCATATACCTACACTAAGATTATTGCTACCTTTCTTCAGGGCTTCTATATAATTATTCCCTTTTCCTCCTTTCCCTTTCCTCATAATCTTTTCAACAATTTGCTTTGCTATGCTTTTCACACCAAATTCTTAAGTTGGCTGAGCTTCATAATTTCAGGGTAAGAATTCATTATTCAACTTGTTTTCCTGCTTAGTCACCTGTTTCTTAATCCTCTGAACTGATTTGTGCTTCGATTCCCTGTAAAAGCTTGTAGAATTTTGCTTTCTTTGATGATTGATGATGATTATGAACCCTAATTTTAGCTCCTGCATGTTAATGATGATATTCATAAGCAAATTAAGCATATCTGCTTCGAATCGAAAGAATACTCTGTTAGGTTTTATGTTAATTGAGCATTTCAGTTTTCCCCAAATCAAACAGGGATTTAGGGTTTGGGTGCTGATAGAAGCTAAAATTGATTGAAAAATGGAGAGTTTGTGTGAGACGTCGGTTGGATCAGATTCAAGCTGGTTCTTAGAACAGCAGGGAATGGCTACAGCATGGACTAAAGAGGAGAACAAGAAATTCGAGAGTGCTCTGGCGATTTTCGACGAAAAAACTCCTTACAGATGGTTTAAGGTTGCAGCAATGATTCCTGGGAAATCTGTGAATGATGTTATAAATCAGTACAAGGAATTGGTTGCAGATGTTTGTGACATAGAGGCAGGTTTGGTCCCAATTCCTGCATACTTGGCTTCTTCATTTACGTACGAATTGGCGGATCTCCGGAGTTTTGATGTGTGTAGGAAGAGGCAGGCTCGGGCGACGATCAACGATCAAGAGCATCGCAAGAAAGGCGTGCCCTGGACCGAGGACGAGCATAGGTGATCCCATTTTATTCAATATTAGTTCAATTCAATTTGATTTGCTTCGATATGATATGATATATTGAGTGAGTTCTTATTGATGATCGATGATAATGATGATCGACCGAGGACAAGCATAAGTGATCTAATTCATTTCTATATAGCTCAATTCAATCACTTCACCTTGATTCGATCCTATATATGATGTATTCTCTGTTTACGTAACTTATGCATTCTTGCTTGGATATGACGACTAAAAAATAATGATATTTTAACATAGATAAAAAGTAAAGTGGAGATATCATGAAAATTTATTAAAAAATGTTAAAAACGTGGTGGGATAAGTAGAAAAGTACGGACATATTGGTTATTATTTGTTAAAGTAAAAGTAATAAATTTATGCGTTGATAAAATTGTTTACTATAAATATATTATGCATAAGTTTAGTGGACAATCCAAAAATGAACAGTGGCATAAGTTTGACGGACGGAATGAGTATTGAGTTCTTATATGATATGATATATTGAGTTCTTATTGATGAGCATAGATGTGATTCAATTAAAACATTCGATTCAATTCAATTTGTTTCGATATGGTATGGATATATTGAGTTCTTATTGACGATCAATGACGGTGGATTTTGTGTTGTGTTGATGGAAATGTAAATTTGCGACAGGCGATTTCTTTTGGGACTTCAAAAGCACGGAAAAGGAGATTGGAGGAACATCTCCCGGAACTTCGTGATATCTAAAACGCCAACGCAAGTTGCAAGCCATGCTCAAAAATATTATCTCCGGCAGCTTTCGGGGGCCAAGGACAAACGGAGGCCAAGCATCCACGACATCACCACTGTCCATCTTGCTGCCACTCCACCCTCCTCCGAGCAGCAGAAGCCGGCAAGTAGTGCCCCCAAACCGCCGGTCGATGGGGGTCGTATCGACGACAAAATGTTCATGGTTTTCGATCCCGCAGCTTACGGCAGCGACTCGCTCGTCGCGTATCCGTGCAATCTTGCCGCGCAAACTTGGCATAGCGCCAAGAGGGTTGCGCCGAGTCCACATTTCCGAATCTAATAAATCAAATTCGCCGAAGGTCTACTACTCGCCGCGCCAGATCGTTTCGATCGAAAAAATCGGCATCTTTGTATATGTTCTTGTTCTTCCCATATTTAAGTCCATCAAACGGTATGGTATGATAAGATTGTGGTTTTGGCAGAAAGACTTGTGGAAATTTGTGTATTTAGCTACTATACCTTTAGTAGTTTCAACTATTTTCTTGAAGCTTTCTTTTTCATGGTGATTTCTTGACAAGGACTATGTTAATTTTTGCTTTTTTGTTTTTTGTTTGTTGGGTTTTTTTTTTTTTTTTTAAAAAAATATTATTATTATTTTTTGGGGGGTGCAATTATTTTAATCAAAGTAGTACATTATTGTTATTGTTGTTATGATCACAGTACTTTTAGGGCATGGATTGTGTAATGAAAGCTGAGTATGAACTCCACAAGGCCATATTGTGATTGTGTGAAGCTATTGAATTATTAATTTTTTAATTGCATGTTATATATATTATTATTTTATAATATTAATTAAGAATTCGTGTTTTATTTTATTTTTTGTGGAATAATATATTCCATATATTTTTTTTAAGTGTAGATTTTTTAAATTTCTATATATCATAACAAGGTATCAGGGTTTTTATTTCTTGAATGATAGAGATCTCTCGAATTTTGATAAAATGTAATATGATTTTAAAATCTGTTGTCTCCTTAATGTTTTTAGAGGTATCCGGAATTTGGGGTCCACAATAAAGCTACTATTTTTGGATCAATCAGCTATATTTTTTTTTTTTTTTTTTTATCATGATTTAAGTAAAATTCTCAAAAAAAAAAATTGTTTGCCTTGATTGTATTTTTTGTTTCACCTTCAATCACATGTCCTAACTCCATTCAGAGCTCCGATTATTATTCGAGTGCGTACTGAATAATTTTTTTTGATTGAACTATACTAGATAAGTTTTGGGAGACATGTTCGACCAAATATCAATACTTTCTCGAGTATGTGTTTATAATGTGATTTATTTCACCGGAGGGGCAAAATGGTCATTCCGGCGAGCGGCGACGAGGCTCCGTGCTGTCGGGTTCTGCCGCCAGTGGCGAAACAGAAAGGCTATATTATTAAGCAGCTTTGTCTGTCACTTTACATGTGCAGAAATGAAATCCTCCATGGAAATGAACTTTAAGCTTATGAAAATCCAACTTTGTGAAAAATGACGATAATAGAGCTCTCAACAGGTACACTTTTGGATTGCTGATTTTGATTGCCGAATTGAAATTTATATTCACAAAATAACAACTTGCTCTTTTCTTACATTTGCTTTTTTTTTTTTTTTGTTTTTAATTTGATATTTGTATTGAATGAGAAAGTATAAAGTGGTAAAGGAAATTTATTGGACGGACTCTACTGCTCGCCATTCTTTTTTTCTTTCTTTCCTTTAGAGAAAAAGAAAGCTTTTTTTTTTTTTGGTTTTTTTTTTTGCCCTACAATTGCGATTAATCTTTATAAATATATATATATATATATTCACAATATGACATTTAAATTATCATTCAAATTAATAAATAAAATAAAATTTTAAAGGAACACACCGATAGTGTTTGCGAATGAAAAATGTGTCTTTTTTTGTGTTTTTGAATTTGATGATGAAAATTAAATGAATTTTGACTTACTTATGATTTCGATTGAACTTCTAATATAATAAAGATTCAATATATCCATAATTTTTCTTCATAAATCTAATCTTTTTATTTTGAAAAAAAAAGAATTACTTACTTAATAGACTTATTTTTCTTTTTTTTTTCTATCATAAAGAATAAGTTTTTTTTTTTTTTTTTTAGTAAATAAACTTCTTCTTTCTTTTTTTTTTAAATTTTTTTTTTATTATTATTATTATGGATGGAGTATTATTTATAATTTTTAAGGACATCTTAGTCCAAATTTTTATATATACATTATATATATATCACACCTCTATATATTGGCAATAGTTTGATAATAGGCAAGCTTTTCATTATGAGTTCCAAAGTCCATTAGGATGTATATTTATATTTTGGATTTCGTTGTATTATTTATTACTTAGATCAATTCATCGACGTTTAATTCTCGAACAAGTGGTATCAGAACCAATTAGAACATATACACATATGTGTAAAGCTTCTTAAAGAACTCATCTTTAAGACACACCTAAAAATGGGAATCCACACATAGTAGGACAATGTCCACATCTTTTGCATGTGAGCAATTCTATTGATTATGTGTATGTGTCCGCCAATTTAATTACATTCCTAAATGCCCACTTGTCCGAAACCTTAAACCTTGTGCGTGCGGTCGAGCAAACAACGCATGTGCATCTATGTTGATTAGCTCCGATCAACACGTAAAAATATTATACACAGTACATAGCTAGAATTAAAATAACATATATTGTGTACATTATTATTATTATTATTATTACTTGTGTTATATTAATATAAAAATCTTATGTTGAGATGTATTATATATTTTACTATTGATATCAATTAAAATCTTAATCAATATTGGAACTTGAGTCACAAGGCAAGAATTACATATTTAGATAAGTTATCAAGAGAGTCAAAAATAAAAAATGAAAAAAATGATTTGTCTGTTTACCTCATTTGATAACTGATTTCATAAATTGCATAACATTTCTTTTAATTTACACTCATATGTAAAAAAATCACATTCCTCACGATTTACTTGGGTCTGTTTCTTTAAGATTTTTTTTTATCTTTTTCAGTATTCAATGTTTACATTTCTCAATAAAGACATTACAATTTAATCTTACAAAATATCATCGTTATTTAAATTAAAAAAAAAAGAAAAAGAAAAAAGAGACAAACCCTACCGTCCCTTAATAATATTGAGGTATAGCTATTATTCGACAAGAATGGTATTATATCAATATTATGGAAAAGAAGCAACAATGGTATTGTTACGGTGGCTGGGCTGGGCTGGTCTGTGTTGATGTATGGTTTGTGGTCTGAATTAAATGATTGGATTATTGATTTCGATTATTTTTCCAAAAAATAAAACTAAAATTAAAAATATAAAACATAAATAAAATTGGGTTCATTTCATTTCATTTCATTTCCAGCTGTGCTGCTTCTTTCTCGGTAGATTTTAACAATTTTAGATTCATTCATTTATGTCGGTTCACAGGGAAACAACAATTGCTGTTTTGCCAAAGACACATTTGCTCCTTAATTTGCAACTATTAAGTCGGGTCGGCTCGGAATTTACTCAATGCGCACTCAATCAATAGTTGAGTTGCTGCAGATTCCTTCTTGCATTGTTAAAAAATATAAAAATAAACAAACACAGACAGACCAAACTAAAAATCAAAATCAAGAAACATATTTCATTGTTTCTCACTGCTCAAAACACCCATCATATTCATATTCATATTCATCTTCATATTCATATACATGTCTCTTTCTCCCTCACGAGAAACCAACATTTTTAAACTTTTACCAATAGAGAGATCAATCTCTTCCGTCATTGTCGACATCATCGTCATCGTCATCACAGCAATTAGTAGTATACGACGAACCGGAGCTCGACAGGCTCGGGTGGTTCTTCGTCGGATTGAACAAACCATCCCGACCCAAGAGGTGTTTTTTCCCGTTTTCGGACAAAAACGACAGCCCCACAGTCGAAATGCTACTGTTGACGACTTCAACATCGCGGGTCCCGCTATAGAGTCCCCGGCTTCCGGCCACAAGTACACTTCCCTTGTCATTGCTCGAAACCGACGGGAAGACATCAAGTAGCTGAGAGTTCTGCTGGTTGGAGGAGCTAATGAGCATTCGCAGTGTCTCCCGAGCGCCCCGTTCGACCATGGACTCTGTATTCGGAAGCAACGGGTCGACAAGATTCTTCGGGTTTAGCGGCGGAATTGCGGTGGACATCGCCGGTCCAGCGCTGACAAAGTACGCCTGTCCCGACGAGCAGACATCTATGATCGGAATGTGGACTATCGGGTCGCATATAAAGGGCGTAAACGTCGGGATCTGCTGCGACGTCGATAGCAGGACCAGAGGCTCCGGAGGGAGGTCGGGGAAATCGACAGTCGGAATCTCAGCCAGGTTCAGTAACGGCTTCGACGTCAGGAGCGCGGAGGGACCGGCGGAGGGCAACAGTGACGAGAGCGGCGGAAGAGACAAGGAATCCGGCGACGAAACCGGCAGCTGCTGAGGTTTTCCGATGGCGTATTGCAGGGACGACCCGACGGGAGGGCACCAGCAGTAGTGAGGAGACAGAGATGATGGGGATCGTATATCTTGGATTGAAGACGCCGGAAGCTCTCGGGATTTCCCGATAATATCCAAAATGTTCAATGTAGCGAGCGAAAGGGTTGCTCGATTCACCTTCGGGAGTTTTTCTTTCTGCAACAGCGGATTTAATGATACGGTGTCAATGGATGATGCGTAGCTCTCCCCTCGTCGCCGAAGCTTTTCCCTTACTGTGTTTCTTAAGCTTCTTTGTAGGCCTTCTTTGAAAGAACATAATCTTGGGCTGAGATTTCCCGGATAGAACAGATTCGTCTTCGACCCATGAGGGGTCTGCAGCCGGGAATGTATGTTTTTCTGACAACCGAATGATGATGTCTGAGGAGAATGGAGTTCGGAGACATGAACCGAGTTGTTATTAGCCGAGGTTTCTGAAAGACTGGAGCTCGATCTAGCAAGGCTGGCTCGGAGACCATTGGCAAAACAGTTGAGCCGGAAATCGCTAATGCCGCTTAATTCAGACAGCGAAGGTTTTCTCGCGAGCAAATCCTTCATCTAATGTGTAAGAAATAAAGAATCAGACAAGCGATTTCGACAGAACAAGCGAACATTGAGCAGATATGTTGAGCAGTTTACCTTTCTCAGCAGTTCGCTCCCCAAAAGCATAGATTTCTCGGAGCACCAAAAATAAGAAACCTCGTCGCTGTCTGAGACCTTGATCGAGAATGACCTACCAGATTTGTCGGCTGGGATGGCTTCGATTTCTGTTTCAGTAGTCTCGGTGTCTGTACTAAATGTTGCTAACCTCTCTGTAGAGCTATCATCTCCATTGAACGACAGCCGTAAATCAGAGGTCAGTAATAGTGTCAGGCACAAATTCCCCCTGTACAGACGACAATGAAATACTTCATATGATCCAATCAATACAAAGAAGACATAGAAACTTGGAATCGAGCTATGGTCTTTAAGCCAAATTCAAGATAATGATATGAAGTAGCAATAAATTGGCAGTCCAATCTAATTATCTCAGTTCAGCCAAAGTTGGGACAACAAATTCTTCGTGCAAACAATTTTCGAAAGGCAAAACAATAACTTTTAGTATTTTCCGTAGACCAGCGCCATAGCTTCCTTCCAGAGTATAATCAAAGTGTTTCAGAAGAAAGAAAAGACAGCATTCATTTGCTGAGAAAATGAAATCCAACAGAAGCCAACCGAAGATACAACACAACTAAAGTATATAATTGAACAACGCTACAGACAACGACAACTATTAATGACAAAAGACACAAATAAAGAAACTCACTTTTCTTACAAAGGATGGTTAATGAGTAATGACTGATTGCCCTAATTTGCTCAGACTGATAGCCAAATATTTACGAGGAACGGTAAACTGGAAAGAAATTAATTTGCCAGCAGATACACAAATGTTGAGATTTGTAATGCTTAAATAGTTAATGAAAATCTTAGTCATTATAGAAATTTCTAGACTGTATTAGCAAGGCAGTTGGCTACTGAGCTCATTAAGATACGGTAACAGTAAAAGTTCCATATCTATCATTTCTAAGTTGTGAATTTTTTATGACCATAAATTTAGAAATCATATCGATCAAATTAGAATAGTAAATCAGATAAGTTAAAAACAAGCAGTAGGATGCAAAGATAGAAGGAATAGGAAGCAAGCTACAGAAATATATACAGAAACTATAAAGGATATTATATCAATGAAATAGGAAACATACTGATTCAACAAAAAAGTCAAGAGAATTCTGGCAAAGTGTGACATAATACAAGGAGCACGAAGCTACCTTTACATCTTCTTAATTCAGAGATCATAATAGTTTACGCCCAATTTACCTACAAGTCAAAAGATATTTTCACTTGGAAGAACGAGCAATGTTACTATTAACAATATAACTACAGCATCCCGCAATAAATACTATGCAAAAAATAAATGATATGAATCGTCATCCCTACATTCATGTATCAACAAAAAAACAAATTGCTAATACAGAAAGGAGATAATGAGACACGAGAGAGTAGGTGAATTTTGGACTGGTTATCTCAATGCCATCAGACAAAAGTGTCTGCTGCAATCTCCATGATACGAGACGACAAAAATATGTATTGGATCAACCTTCCTTGGCATCTCCACGTGTCATAAGCACCTCCTAGCTATCAGCAAATCAACATCCAGGTATTTAATAAAGAAGATGCGGGATAATAAAGTTGTGTTTAATGCGTGTCTGTGATTCAAATTAGAAACAACACTCAAAACACGTGAACCGTTAGGAATCAGATGGACATAATACGATACTCCTCTCGGTAGCCACTTACTAAATGATCACCTAATCATATACCACACTTATAAAATACATGTAATTGAATACAATTAAAGCTACATACAACAAAGGATAATAATCAATCAGCACTCAATACAATGAAATTCCTTATCCGAATAATGATACAGAGTGTTAAAACAAAATACAAATATCAATCAACACATGACAAACAAGATTACAGTCAATTCAGCCAATTAATCAACTTAAAATAAATCTAAATAAGTTATATTTATTCAAAGCAAATTAAGAAAGCAACAGAGAATGAAAAGATATTTCAAGCATTTCGTGGAACTCCATTTGTTGGTTACTAAGATTTGACTATATCCTTTCAACAGTTAAAACCTTAGCTCTATCCACACCTGTTCAAGTACAGTACCCATGAAATTATATCATTCTCATCCCATCCTTTTCCCCCTAGTGTGCTAAGATATATGAATGTTTCGATTGGGCTTATAAATCATACACATTTCTATACATGATTAAGAGACTATCAGTTCTTGATGGGATAAATTTTGTCTGCCCTAAAAAACAACATTTAAACGCAAGTACCTTATAGATGTTGGCAATAATAGTGTCCCTTGCTTATTGATCTTTCCAACTCGAATAGAAACCAAAGGAATGCACAAGCATCTGGCTAGCCTCCCAACTTCAGCAGGCTCAAAGTGCTGTTAATGAACAAAATGATTATGAGGCCGAAAGAACACAAACTTACAGCACCCGTAACAAGATAGAATCGTCCACAGTAACATAATCCAATTAACCGACAAACATTCACACCACATAGTGCATTTCCATTCAAAGCACAAACGAAAATTATTCAATAAAAAAGCAAGAACTCTACACTATCAAGGGCAAACATCAAGAATCTAATTGATTTTCCTCGGTACCTGATTTAGATGCGCTATCAAACGATCATCAGCAACACCTGCAGCGACATTTAGCTTCAGCAGAGGTTTCAGCCTCTCATCCGCTCGGCAAGCCCCCATAACCTGCATATCCAACGCACGAATCCACTTAAGAACACCGTCTTCCCCACCATTCCTCTGCAGCAGCAGATCCGCATCCTCATTCTCCACAATAATCTCCGTCAGCCGCCGCGCAACCGATTGCCCCGCACTCACCGACGTCCCACCACCGCAAGACGGAACATTCGCCGAATCATCGCCGCTCGACGCTCGACCGGAGGGATCTGCATCATCGACCGGTCGCCCATCCTCAGATTGCCGTTTCTCGGAGTTACTCATTCTCAAAACTCCCTCAAATCAATCAAAACTAACAAAACCGCTGGAATGATCACAAATCTTCAAAACCTTGCAGACGAATATCCTCGAGAATCCTGAGCGACGCAGGCAGAGATGAGACGCGAAAAAAATCTAGCAGCAATTGCAATCACAGAAATGGAGAGATAAGGAAATACACACGTCTTCCATTTTTATATGCTGGGAGGGGAAGGGAAGCAATAGCATGGACGTGAGACCTAAATTCCAATACGATTAATAAAGGTCTGACGTCCGGAGTACACGTCATTCTTGTGGACCCCACACGTGGCCAATAGCGCTGCATAGCTCGATTGGCGTGCCACGTCAGAACACAGTTGCTTGATATTTTTCTCATTCGTAGTCCGTAGGATTACTTTTATAATAAGTCTAATTTTTTTTATAGAATAATTACTTTACATTTTATTGAAAAAATTATACACTTAAACATTTTTAAAGTTTAAAATTAGACACGTTCTTAACAAAAAATATATTGCATTTTTATGCAACTTGTATTAGCTAAATTATTATTCAGTTTGTTTCGAACAATTTTTCATAAATATTATTAAAAAATACAAATATACAAATATTAATATAAGCTGTATATTTCATAAACAATTTTCCTTTTTGATCAGTTTGGAAAAAAAACATTGTTTGAGTTTGGTATAAAAATAATGTTTGATAGGATATTTTATGAGATAAAAAAATATTTTTTTTTCGGAAAACGCAGAGTTCAAATAGTAAAATTTGGAAAAACTGACTTAAAGAAACATACACATATGCTATCACTCATAAAAAATAACTATTCAATACAAAATATTATTTTTAATATTATGAGCTGACTTTTTCATACCATACACAAAAAATCAATTCATCGGCCAAAATTATTTTATTTTTATTATTTTTTATAAAAAATGACATAAATATTAAAATTATCTTATATATTTTATAAGTTATAGAATGTAATGCATAAATATTGCATTTGTATTGTACTAATATTATTTTATATTATTGTATTTAGATTATATTAATACATATTATTGTTATTTATTTATAATATATTTATGTGTTAAAGTCCATATGCTATCAAAACAATACAAAATCCCTTAAGAGATGACTTGGTGGCGTGAGGATTGAACTTGAACTTGTGACCGTGAAGTTATAGTTCAAACCCCCGACAACTTCGAATTTGTCAAAATTTTCACTATTCATAATTTATCCCGGCATCAATTTAAAATTTTTTACTATCCAAATTCAAACCCAACCAAACAAACTACCGTTATTTTTCAATCCTACAGTTATTTTTATACACCAAAGATCTCGTATATTAATATCTAAAGGTTAACATCTCAAACGATTGAAAAAACAAAAAAACTTATTGATTTTAGTATTATTTATTACACTTTTACTTTTTCTCTGAAGAATACTTTCAACTCCCATGTTGAATTAATAAATTTTAATTATATTAATTAGATAATTTAATAATATAAATAAATATAAATAATTTTTATATATTCAATTATGTGCTGAAAATATTTTTTAACACTCCCTACCGTCTGGTAATGCTTCCTAAAATATTGCTGTAATTTATATTTACCCATTTTTATTTCAGTTATTAAAAACATTTTTTTTTAATTATTTTGCATAAAAATACATAATTCGACTAATTCAATTCATTTGCCTACTTACTGAAAGGATGTATTTGTATTCAACCTGCACTCCACACGGTTCTATGTAAAGATATATTATTTTTTTTACAAAGAAATATTATATTCAAATCAAATATTCAATTTTAAATAAAAACCAAACAGATTCAAAGACACCACAACACAAGTAAGAATAATTCCATCATCATTGAGTTTGTTTGATTTTGATTTAAAAGTTTTAAATTTTAGTCCAAATAATATTTTAATGTGATATTTAAAAAAGCCAAAATTTTCTTCCTCCCAAAATTTTCAAAACTCAAAATAACAAACGAACCAAAACACAAATCATGAAAATGTTACGAAATTTCAATTTCAATTTTTTTTGTAATTATTATACAACTATAAAAATACAATATTCTCTCACAAAAAACCCAAAACCAAACACATACTTCACATCAAACAATGGCCTGTAATTTAACCTCCATGCCATTTTAACACAAAACATTAAAATCAGCACTGTAATTTAACCATTATTTTAAAGCCCCCCAAAAAATCAAATTCAAACCAACTCATATCACAAAACATCTCACACACCCACCCAATATGATTCAACCAGTAATAAATCAATTCACCCAAGAAATTGTTAAAATTCAAGAAATTGATTTCAAAATCCATTCAAATTCTCAAGGGGTGTCATTAATCTCTTACAAGGAATAACTAAGTCTTAAGTCCTTTTGTGATTTTGGTTTCTATCAAATGGGAGTGATGCATATATGTGTATGCATTTTATGTTCGATTTCTACTTGCTCTTCTTACCTTCTTTCGCATAGTCATCGACGAGGCGTTGCACGTCCTTCCAGAAGAGACCCTCGACCAAAACTCCATCTTTGGTGAACCTGCAAGAACAGTATGCATGAATAGATAGGATTAGTAACCACAGCGCTGAAGAAGATGATCATCGGGAGAGACAATAGATTACCACTTGGTCACGCTTTTGGTGAATTCAACGGAAGGTTTTGCAGATATAGATTCGGGATCTGCGCTCGCAATTATGAGGGTGTACATGTCGGAGAATCTTGGGAGTTTGGAAGTCACGACCAATCCAGTTGAGTTGAACGATCCCTGTTGAAAGAGTTCGACCAGAATGTGTTAACTCTAGTAGAAGTGGTAAACCATGGTTAACCATCAGTAACACCTAAACATGAGATGCAATATTATCATCAACAAATTTATGTCATGGAAATTTATAGAACTTCTATTTTGTGTTTTTCCGCACTTCCCGACATCTTAAACATGTGACAGTTTTGGTTATGAAAAAATTTGCAATCACTAGAAAAAACACATTTGGGAAGGTAAAAGCTATAAACAGTATGATGAAATCAGCTATGTTAGCAAAAACAATAACACAAATCAGTGGGCTTAAGGAAGAGTAGATTACTAATTTCCGAAAAAGAATGTGACAATCAAACACTTAATAATCAGTGAGCAGAGAAATTCTGATGCAGTACAAACCATGGATAAGTTTATCATTACTTATCGTATTAGATTTATTAACAAAAAATCAATCGATCATCTCTCAACCCTTCCACATTTCATTCAGTTAAGGTGCCATGGCAATAATAAATGATGTAACTGCATAATTATTCAGACATCAAAAGGTAACTATTTCAAGAGACCTCATTCTCAAACATGCAGAATAAGTAGGGACTGTCTTAGCTTTTTTTTTAAAAAAAAAAAACAAAAATTGTATAGCAACGGCTGAACCCAAGAATGGGCACTGTCTCAACGTTTTTTTCACTGTTATGAAATAACAACCAACCAATATTTTAATAACACAAGAGAGACACAAATAATAATAAGCTCAGGCTCTGTTTTTTTTTTAAGGTCGTGCTATTCATCAAAATCCATCACTCCTTTGCAAACTATCAAATCGAACACCTATTTTTCATTTAATATATTAACAAATAAATCAGTTTTTACATTAAAAAAAAATATCACATCAAATGCTTATTTATGTCCCATCAACCACTATTTGAATTCAAACCCAAAACCCAGATCCAAACCTTAAAGGAACATAGTTTCAGAAGGCGTTGAACGTGTGTCTCTTAAACAAAAGCAGGTGAAAATATTTATACCATTAAGTGCATTATATAAATATATATATATGGTATATAAGTTGAGAAGATTCCTACGAGGGATACCATTGTGAAAAGTTCAAGCCCAAACTTACGATCTTATGATCAATCCAACGGAAGTTGCTTCGTAGTGATGAAATAAATCATTTTGAAAAGGAACAGACAAGCCAAGGGATTGATGCCATCATAAATCAAAACAAATAACTGTAGAACATTTTCTCCTAACATATTACATAATTAAGTACTTAAACAATTCACATAAATAAAAAAACCTCATCATTTTAGCGGACACTCTAATTCAATAAAATGCACAACAATGTTATGAAAACATCTACTTTGTCTTATAGGCCAGTAATGAAATAACACAAACCAAACAATCGCAGGAAAGATTGTATGCAGTAAAAGCATCAACAACGCCATTGTATGATTCAAATTTCCAAAGTGTAAGAAAATAGAAAGATTATGAATGCCATATTTGCGAAGAGAAAAGAACAAGAACCCACCAGTGGAGGATAGGTAAACAGGATGGCATTCTTCTCCTTCAAATATACAATCAGCTGCAATACCGCATTCAATACAACATACTTGCCAGCGTCAAGGTAAACAAACAACATACTTTTTAGAACACAAATCATCAAAAATAACACTGATTAGCATCCTTACTATCACAGATTTGTACACAGCTAATAATGAAAAACTAACCCCAGATTTCACTACAGTTGGAAATTCTCCTGCAATTTTCACTGTGCACCAGTTATATATCAATCCATTTTTTATCCATAGTCAAAACATTCATTTCTACAGTTCACTCACATCGTGATTTAACAAATATATACAGATAGATACATATAATTATAATTAAGAAGGTTAAACAATATAGCTTTGAAAACTTTTTCGCTCAAAAGCGTCGTTTCAGATTAAGAACTAAGAAATAAAACAACGAAAAGGATATAAGGCGATGCAACCAATGAGAAAATTCCGATTCTCAGGAAACTTCTTATTATAAAACTGTGCGACCAGTGCAACAACAATGACGATCGTCCCAACCAACAACCGAAAATTGCTCATCCGCACATCTTCCGGATATCCTTTGCTGGTCACGATCTGAGTCCACAGGAAGCACAATTCAACACATAAAACATAAGAGAAATACCAAATCAAAAGGCGAACATTCTGGAAACTAAAATCCCCACGATAACCCCGGGCAAGTGTGAATCCGTGCGAAACGGCACTAACCTCGGTGACTGATTCGTCGAGAGTGTGCTTGATGGAATTGTGATCCAACAGATTTGTCTTCTTCTGGCCCTTCTTTGAATCCACGTCTCCGCTCTTCTCCGCCATTTTCGATTCTCTCTCTATATCGGAAGTTTTCTTTAGGGTTTTCGGTCTGAAAATACGGGATTCCACGGCGAGAGACTCTCTTGATTATATAAATGAAGAAATGAGCGAGGACTTGGGTTGGTTGTCTTGTACGGTCCATGATCCGTTTTAAGACGGGTCGGCCTCCTATCTATTTTATTATTATATTATATTAAAAATTAATTTTTATATTTAAAATATTATATTTATATCAAATTAAATAATTATTTCAATTTAAAATTTTAGTATTTAAAACTAAAATTTAAAATTAAAATTTTCTAAGTAAACACTCCAATTATTTATGAATGTATTTTTATATTTAATATGAATATAATAATATAAAAAAATATTATTTTATATTAAATTATTGATTTTTAGTGAGTGAATAAATTATGTATATTTATAGTGGCAGTTTGTTACAATTGATTTGTCCATTTTGGATGTGTTTGTTTGAGAAATTTGTTTAGATTTCCACTATTCATCCTATTTTTTTTTCAAAAATATCAAATCAAACATCTATTTTTCATTTTTTATATTATACTAAAAATTAATTTTACATTCAAAACATCACATCAACACCTATTTATATCACATCATACAACTATTCAAATTCAAAATTTTTACTATTCAAATCTCAACTCAAAATCCAAATCTTCAAACAAACACACCCTTTATTTTTTTTTATGACTCTGAAAGTACTCCATTTTAATTTTATGTAACATGTAATTAGTAAATAATTAAAAAATATATTTGTAAAAATAATTATAGATTAAAATTAAAATAATTAAATAGTTTAATTTAAATAAAAATAATATATATAAATTATGAATTTTTATAGAACATGGGAGAATATACAATTATTTAGATAATTGTTTTTATATGAATTGATAAATTTATTTTTTTTTATAATAAGATAATGATTAAAAATGATAAATAAAATAGAGATAAAAAAAATAAAATTTATATTTAAAAAAATAAAATAGGACTTTTTAGAATTGCCAAATAAAAAAAAGACATTAATTTATGAACTGATGGATTAATTTGTATGGCGGACGCCTCTCTCAATCAAGGTTCACAGAATTTTTTTTTTTTTTTTTTTTTTAGTTTTTTAAACCTTAATTTACAATTCCGAACGGAGTTTTTCGCCCACTCTCCTTGTCACGGTGAGTTTTTCTGCAACTCGGATTTACTGTAATGGAAAGCTCCGTTACGGTTCTGACTCGGGCGAGAACGTGCAACGGGGGCGGGGTTACTGTTCTCGTGGCCTCTCCCGCCGTCTCTCCAATTCTCTGTCTCAAACTCTCATTCTCATGGCTTATATATTCTTCTCTGCTCTGCCCTCTCTAAAACTTAATTTCTAATTCTGTTTTTGCAACAGTTATGTCGCTGATTCGGAGCACTTTTCGGAGGATCTTCTTCCGGAGTAATGTTTGTGAGGGGAGAAGGAGACGCCTGATGCCTACATGTACATGTACATGGCGGAGGTGCCAGGTGTAGAGGCAGAGGATTTGACAATTGAGGTAAGGGTACTTTTGTGCGGATCTACGGTGAGCAGAGTTGGTGCGATGAAGAGGCTACTACCTGGTATCTTCTAGAAGAGGATAGCAGCAACAGAAAACTTTTCACAGAGTTCTGGCTGCCAATTTGGATGCAGGCTTCCTCAATCTTTCTGTCCCCAGAGGCAAAAGTAATGTGAAGTTTATCGCCATCCCCGTTCATATGGCGTGATTAGGTAACGATTTTGACTTGGAAATTTTCATTTGAATGAACTTCAATTGTTACTTCATTTTTTTGTTATTGGTAACTTGTGCATGATATCTCTCGGATTTGTATATGTTCATATAATGTTTTAGCATCTGTTTATCTAGTCTAGCAAATCGATGAGAAAATGTAGATTTGAAGGTTGCCATGGATTGCAAATGTTATCAACTTCAATGTAACACCATTATTATAGCTTATGGTTTTACCTAATTATTAGTATATCTTACTTCTTAATCTGAATTATTGTTTAGCCTTCTAAATTTTTATTTTTTTTGTATCCAGATGTGTGTTTTACTGTGGGTAAAAATGAATATGACTATCCGTTAAATAACTATGTTAAGCTAATATGTATTTTTGTTGTGCATTTGATTGAATAAATCACATCCTCATTTAAAAGTTTAAGTTATTAGAGATATCTAAAGCAATCTTATAAACTTGCTAGATTATTAAAAGTATATAGCTTCACAATTTTCATAAACAAATCAAGAAAATACATTTCTTTCATAATAATAACAATTATTATTATCTTCTTCGCTCATTAAAGGAAAAAAAAAAAAAAAAAAAAACCTCTTGCCAAATTATATGTAAGCTTCGCTAATAATAATAATAATAATACTGCATTTCTTGAATTGAATTGAATTGAATGGATGGATTGATGATTAATTACTATCTTCTCAACATTTGGGGAGATCAAGAGGAGGATCTATGATAGATTGATTTGGGCCCTCTCCATTTTCCACTAAAAATGCCATTTTCAGACCCCATGTGGTGTGCACCTCCAAATGACAATGTAGAAACCAAACCCCTGCAATACCAACCCAAATCCACATTAATTAATTAATTAATTAGTTAAGAGGATTGATTGGTCCATAATTAGTTATTTCATTGTGCCTAAATAATTTGAAGTAACACTAATCATTTAGAAACCATAAAGTTCCTTGCATGTTTTTTAAAACATTACACAAAATTATATTTTTAGAAGATTTTATGTAATATTTTTTTACTAATACTAAGAGTTACGGGAAATGATGTGAAATCTTTTCCTTATGATTTAAAAATTGTATATGTTTGTTTGTGGCTTTTATTTTTGTATTTAGATTTTTTTTACTAATAAAAGTTTGAATTTAAATAATTGGTTAATATAATATTAATTTGATATCTTTAGGTGTAAAATTGATTTTTAATATAATGTAAAAAAATTGTTTACTATGGTATTTATATATAAAAACAAATAAATAAATAAATAAAAATTCACAGGAGAACACATCTAAAAGTTTATTATGTTCTCCAAGAGTTTTAAGATTTAGAAACTGCATAAAAATTCTTATTTTCAGGAGATTCGATGGCAATGTTTTTTAAAATACTGAGAATCCGCTAATTTTGTTAAATTTTTTCTAAAACATAAAGATATTTTTTTAAAAAAATCTTTTTTGTGCAAAAATTATATTAAATAAATAAGTACAAGTTTACCTGGATTGTCAGCTCTGAATCTGATTGCAGTCCATCCTCCAGTAGGAACACTGATTGTGTTCCTTTCAACAGGATCAACAAGATTGAACTTCTTAGGATCATCAACAGGATCATAGTTTCCCAAACCTTTCCCAACAACATAGAAGTTGAACCCATGGAGATGAGTAGGATGGCTCTCAGGTGCTATAATGGATGTCCCCTGCAACACAATCTGTACTGTAGAATTATACCCCAGCCTGTACACCCTGGTGCCATTCTTCGTCTGCATGTTCGCCGGCTGAGCGGCGCCGGTGTAGTCGAACGGCGTCGGAGGGCGCGGCGGAAAGTCGTCGGTGTAGACACCGCTTATGTTGTAGTAGTGAGCTTGAAGAAGAGCTGTAGTAGGCATAACAAAGCTGACATTGTTGATATCGGCCACGACGCGCGTCCCGTTGGTGCACGTTGCGCAAGGGTTGATCCCGACGCCGATGGCGAACACGAGGGAGTGGTCAACGCTCTCGGGGACGTCGGCGGGGTACTTTCTCGAATCGAGGCTTCTGAGGGAGTCCATGAACTTGGTTGTCACGGGGGTCGCGTTGCGGGGGGGCAGGACGGTGACGTCGGTGGCGGTGAAGGCGAGGGTGCCATTGTAGCGCAACGTGCCGGTGGCTGTCACGTTGTCGGTGGCGACGATGGTGTCCATGAAAGGGGAGATGGCGATGAGGTAGTTCCCGGTTCCTTGGTCTGCCGTCAAAATCGCGTTCGTCGTCTGCCCGGGGGCGATGAATATCGTGTCGGTTTGGAATGGCTTGGTGTACGACGCGTCGACCTCGACCACAGTCAGCTGGTGCCCGGCGATCTTGAAGAAGAGATCTTCGTTCACGGCGGCGTTGATTATGCGCAGCATATACGTTTTGCCATTTTCGACGTGGAGACTGTAGCCTGCATTTCAAGAATCGAACGAATTGTTAAATGACCGTTAAATGATCGTCTGACCTAAAAGAGTTTACTTGAATGACGATTTCTTGCAACTTAAGAACCTTGAGAAGGGCAGTTTTGGACAGGGCCAGGTAGTCCCATGATTGTGTGTGCATCGGACACATTCGGTGGGATGCCGAGCCGCATCGCCTGGTCGATGACTGCTTCGACGTCGGATTTCCACCATTCTCCTGCATAAAAAAATGGTAGAGAAACTCAGATTTTCAGACAGGGGAGATGATTGTTATGATATGAACACAGCAATCCAAACCTAAGACGATTATCTTCTCCTTGTCGGGTTTAGGGAACGGATAAGGCGTGCCGCGCTTCGGAAGAATGACAATGGCACCGTGAACCGTTGCTCGTTGCCAGTTTATATGAGAATGCCAAAGAAGTGTGCCCCTCTGCCCTGTGAGGGTGAATTTGTACACATAGCTCTGCCCTGTCTGAATCGGGCATTGGGTGATATACCCCGGCCCGTCCGCCCAACCTGTTCGTAGCTGCCTAACTCCATGCCTGCATTGTATTCGAGCAAAAAGATTGAAGATAAAAAAGGCTAAGTATACTAAAATTGGACAAGATTTAAGGTTGCGGCGCAATCTTAAATCCAGACCAGTGGATCGTAACATTGTCTTTGACATGGTTGACGACTCTCACTATCACCGTGTCATCCTCCCTCGCATAAATAGTCGGCCCGGGAAACTTCCCGTTCACTGTAATTATCGACTTGCTTGTACATAGCCTCGTTATGTTCTTCTGCACAACCTGCACATCAAGCGAATACTAAATCATGTAAAATCGCCAAGCTAATCAACACGCGCTGTCATTACATACTTACATCGAATTTGTAGTGGCGAACTCTTGACTCAACACATGCCAAATACAAGAAAGTCGTCGATATTAAGATCAAGATCAAGGCAAGAATCCGAAATCCCATCTCTTTTACTATATTTTCTCTTCTTCCTAAATTGCCTCTATAGACAACAATGATGTCCGACCTTTTAAACATATTCCAAAGGAAGAAATCTCTTCGATGTAATGTCGGTTTTCATGGTTAGGTGAGTGAGTGTTCACTAGACATCCATGCAACTTTTTGCTAAGATTTCTTGCATTTTACACAAAGTAGTTATGCGTCCAAGTATATAGTTTGAGGAAGGGTGAGATTATGCTTTCACAGACATTTTTTGACTAATTCGAGCGGGAAGAGCGCCATGATAGATATATCTCCTCTGTATTCTAGAAATTCAATTCAATTCATCTACTAATGTTCAAAGTTGAGTTATTTACTGAATCTGTCATTTTCTAATCATTGATTGAATCTTACATGGAGATCTTCAGAGTTTTCTGCAATAATTTGACCTTTTTTTATCCATGCTGTTAATGATCATATCAGGTTAATTTCTTCATCTTTCCATGAATGTAAGTAAATGTGATCTACATTTATACTGTACACCTTCCTGCCTACCTCTCTATGAAGTTGGTAACTGTTGCTTTAGACTCTATAGTATGTATGCATATTGATTACATTAGTTGAGAAATTGTTTTCATTAATGGAAAAGAAAGAAAACATGCTGTAATTTGAAGATCAAATGTATATTATAAGCAACAGTGCTAAAAAGTATATGGAAATTCTGTCTCTTTTCTCTGTGTTCTAAGAAAAATTACTTCTAACTATAATTGAACTTGTGATCATATTATGCTTTGTGTTTCCCAACATTAACATTTTGAGTTTGTGTCCAGATAAGATTAATAGATTGAAAAAACAAAATGGAAACAGAATAATTAACATAGCTTTACCTGCACAAGAAGCAGGACCGCGTGTTCGCCAACCATTAGTCTCACGTTTGGGCATTCGTTTACGTTTGGAGCTTCGACAGGTTCTTTAATGGCAGCCGTCACACCTACAAGAGCTCGGATTTTTTCGAAAATAAGGAAATGCATCAGATGCCGATCAGTAATGAGCCTAAAGTGTCTATTTTAACCAATCACCATTTTAATTAGTATTTAGTAATATATTCATGGAAAGATAGGTTCATCCATCTATCCTTATTCGATTTCGATTCATTCAGCCCATACTGGATTTAGTATCAAGTTCATTTTGAAGAAAAAACATATTTTCTCATGGACGTAGTAATTAATCAGACGGATTGACAATAGAAAAGGATATTATAGTTAAATGTAGAAAAAACAATCATAGGTAGGAAATTGACGAAGGTCAATAACTAGCCATGGCAGCTCTGCAATTTCAGGAAGAAGAGCATACGATTAATGTCTATTTCAATTTAAGATTAGTTCAGTTCCTCGATGATCGTATATCTATCATAAGTGAGAATATCAATCTGCAGTTCCTCATGACAAACAGGACGGACATTCTCAAGAAGGAATCGTACCTCGGATGGAAGCTTGTTGAAGAGCTCCTTCGATCATACGCGTCTGGAGAGCAAATTCGTCCGGAATCTTCCTACGATCAATGTAACAAAATCCTTCGCCATTTCTGGAGAGCATTTTTCTATCAAAATCAATCAATCATCAAACGATACTCATCGAAATGACGCCAATCTCGCACCTGATTAGCAGAGAAGAATTCTCGACCAAGCATGAAACACCTCTCAAGCCTCAACGCATCTTCAAAAAAACACCAAAAGTTTCACACAACACATACACATAAACAAACAAAAACACTAAATTCAAATCAGACCTTGGAGAGAGCCTCAGACGAGCACAATCCACCATTCCTAATAATAACTAGAACAGTAAAAACACCATCTCCATGCTCACCTCCTATTTCCTTCAGCTACTTACACTTCAGTAACTACTTTTGAACGGACGAGATAAATAGATAACCCAACCAGATATCGACACGTGGCGCCTAGTGTAAAAAAAAATCTACTGCTCCTCCCGCACAGTATAATTTCCTACTTTCTCCTCCAACGCAGAGTAACTGAATTTGGCGCCAAAAATGTCTACCACTAAACCCTTAGTACTGTAACCTAAAACCGCCCATTTTGCAGAGAGAACTTTTCCGGCAAGATGCCTACTCGATTTTTCTGCGCCGCGGCGGCGGCCGCCGCCGCCGCCGTCGTCTTCGCGCACCTCTTCTACTCCATCTCCGCCACCACCGTCGGCGTCACGTACAATCCTTCCGCTCCGAACCTGCCGCCGCCGGAACGCGTGATCTCGACTCTCATGGCTCTCCGAATCTCCGCCGTCCAACTCATCGAGCCGACCCCCGCCGCCGTCCGCGCCTTCTCCTACACCAATATCAGCCTCCTCATCTCCGTCCCTAACCGCCTCATCCCCACCTTCGCCGCCAACCGCTCCTCGGCGGACCTCTGGGTTCGCTCCTTCGTATTACCATTCTACCCTCGCACTCGAATTTCCCTAATCTCCGCCGGCTCCGACGCCATAACCTCCGTTTCGATCACCGATCCGACCGTCGACACCTCGACGGTGCTCCTCCCGGCGCTGCGCAACCTCCGCCGCTCGCTCATCGATTTAGGGATTCGAACCATCCCTGTTTCCACGACCTTCTCTTTTATCGACGTTATGACGACGGCGTTTCCGCCGTCGGCCGCCGAGTTTCAAGAACCGATCGGATCTCTGATCATCCGCCCGCTGCTTCAATTCCTGGACGAAAGCAACTCATCCTTCCTGATCAATTTATATCCGTACAACGTCTACAGAATCAACTCCGAGATTCCGGTCGCCTTCGCCCTGTTTCAGGAACATCCGTTCAATTTCCGGGACGACGTCATCACCGGAGTGCGGTACCGGAACCTGTTCGACATGATGGTGGACGCAGTGATAGCAGCCATGGCAGTTTCCGGTCAGGAGAACATTCCGGTGATCGTGGCTGAGACCGGTTGGCCTAGCGATTCCGAGAGCCAGGCCGGAGGGAATTACGCCGAGATGTACCTGAAAGGTTTGGTTGCGCACCTGAGGTCGGGGATCGGGACGCCGTTGAGTAAAGATGGGGCAGCTGAGGCCTACATTTACGAGCTGTTTGACGATGAAGGCGGAACGAATTCGACGGAAGAGGCGAAGGGTAAAACTGCGGCTGCGATGAGCCGAGGCTCCGGGGCCGGGGCCGGACAGCGGTGGGGGATCTTGTATCCGAATATGACATTGAAGTATGATCTTCCTTTCTCTGGTTCGTTGAGGGCTCTAAGTTTGGGTAGCAAAAGATTGTTGGAGCTGTCTCTGGTGAGTTTTGTGCTGTTCTTGTTTACAGTGTGAAAATTTGTTGGCTTTTTTGCTAAAAACTGCAGAATCGAATAGAATTTCTTAGTGTATTAAGCTGATGGTTTTTTGTGATTCTTTGATTGATTGGATAGTGTCACTGATTGCTGCTGTTGGTAGTGATTTTGTTAGAATTGGGGATTGAATTTTGCAATTTGAGTCTGATTTGACAACTTTTTCATATGAGGAAAGAATGTAGTTTGGTATCAGTTGCTGGATTTGTGTATATATGAATATCATGGTAGATTACTTTTGTTTTTTCATTGCTATTATAATGGAAGTTTGCCCACGATGTTATTCTTGAATATTGTTGATGGGATTGATGAATAATGTGTGTATATATTGTGTATTGAAATGCAGTTTGATAGTTTTTCTAAGTACAAGAAAATTAGAAATGCACTTTATATCTTCAAATTGGATTTGAGTGGTATTGTCACTTCATTTTCAACCATTGTTAAGATTGTTAATTCAAATTCTTGGTAATGTTGATTTTTTCTCATCCATTCAATGAGCTTAAAGGGATCAAGAATGGCAAGCAATTAGTGGGCACAAATCTATCTGCAAATGCACAAAACTACACAACAATTGGAATGACTAATCACAAACATATAGAGGAAATCTGAAGAAAGATGATGGCTTTCACTAGTAGAAAAAACACAAAGCAAAAAATAATTATAATAAGATGGGATACAAACTGGGGATGTTTTTGAGTGATTGGTGAATGAATATGGTGATGATAAACAAAAGAACTTCCACTTTTGTAGTTCAATAACAGAATGTAGTTAAAATCCCTACTAAGTTTGCTAATCAAGTGTTGCTTTACTGGTACAGGTTGAAGCCTTAGTTTCTTGGCTTCTGGACAGGCCAAAATTAAGTCTCATGGAACAAAAAAAATCCTTAAAACGTACAATCGATGAATTTTACCTTCATTACGTATTTATATATATATATGAATCAATCGAACATTGGTCCATGGCCTCACTTACTTCGCTTCTTGGCTTCGCTGTAGAGGATGACACCAAGAACTGTTAAACTATATCCAAGCATTCCCGTAACCGAGACAGGGTTCCGGAAAATCAATATTGAAACCACCACAGCTACAGCGCCTTTTGCGTTCCCTAAAACCTGGAGTGAATATTAGCAACCAAGATTATATTCATAGATCAGCAACAATTCTATTTACCAAGTCATTGAAACAAGTGTCTCAAACACCACGAATCTTTTAGTGCCATTAAAGGTTTACACGAAATGTTACACAAATTTTACTCCATGTTTCCGCAGGCTTCCATCATAACTCTATAGCAAACAGACTAAATTGACTAAGTTATCGCTACGCACTCGACACCTAATATAAAAGCATGTAGCCAAGTAACAGAAATAACATATTTTTTCTCTATGTCCAGTCAGTCTTCAAATATCACATTCTTAATATGGAGTGTGTTGGCATCTGATGTTTTAATACAACGATTCCAAATTAAGTAAAATAATGACAAAGAATGACCAAAGTTAATCGTGGATTTCAGATAAGAACATCAGATATAAAAGCTGGACTAATTCAGACTCAGCACACTTATTGTCCGATTATTGAAAGAAAAAAAAATGTGTGCATTATATGACATCTTCGCTCATCTCCCAACCATACTTAGACAGCAAAATGCGACAATTTTCATTCAAAAAAATCACGTCAATTGTTCCCATCAGCCCGTCAACACCCCCATTAAATACCATTCTTTACCAATAATAAAAGAAGCAGATCAAATTGACATTGATCAAATTAAAATGGATCAAAGCATTTCTCCCCCTCCCTTCGATCCCACAACCTAAACATGGACGGCATATATTTAGTACATTAGCAAGAAATAATACCTGGAGAGTCAGGGCACTGGTGTGCTTTGTGACCAAAAAATTGGTCAGATTTACGAAATACGCAAGCGCAGAGTTGAAAAGCAGCAGCCAAATAATCCTTGTGTCTTCTCTTGCCAAAGCCAATGTGATACCGACAACATTTTCTTCCATCAAAAGTGTTGCAGGTAGTAGAAGTACTACGGCAATGGGAGCCATATAAAGAAGTAGGTTCATAGAATTCAATTTTTCCCTTCAAAGAAAGGAAAAAAGTTTCAGAATCCTTATCTGATCATTTGAAGCCGAATAACAGAAACGCCACAGTTTATAGAATTATTACCCCTCCGAAGAAAGCAAAATACCCTGAACCACCGATTTGAGAGCTCTTGCTGCTGTTGCACCGACACACATGATAAATCCAAATAAATGGAAACTAGGCTCGCCCTGAAAAGGCAAGAGATCGATTAAACAAAGGTTAAAAACTTTTACTGCCTTCTAACATAAGAATCGTAATTACAGAACTACCAAATATAGAGCAATTTACAAAGATAGATGATCGGCTTAGTTAGAAATAAGCTACAATTGCTAAAAATGGTTAATGCCGATAATTCGACATCATCACACCTCACAAAATTCAGACAAATGCAGCCTCTTTTAAGTAGATCATCAAAATTCATCGGTAGATCAATTAACAACAAGAAATTAAATCGTCCAAAACCTCACCAATCAAAACAGCACATTCCATTTTTCTTTGTTGGTTTTCAAGAGCAGAGAACAAATCAATCAAGCAATCAATCAATACAAATTCAAATTCAGATTCCATAACAGAGCAAGAACAACACATACCCCACTGGCAATGACGACTCCAGTAACAACAGGAATCAAGGTCACATAGGTCAACCATGCCTCCCTCTTGAAGGTCATCAAGTAGGCAAACACTGCAGTGAAAAAAGGAGTGGTGGCGCCGATCGCCTGATTGAAGCTGACAGGCAAATACTTGAGCGAAATGTTGCCGCTGACGACGGAGGCGCAGAATATCATGCTCAGAGCTGAAATCTTCATGAACTGAACCCTAGATCTTATCGTCTGCATCGGCACCATCTTCATCCACGTGATCGCGATGTAGCTCAGCAACGAACATGCCGTCATGTGGCACATCGTCAGAAAAATCGGGTACTTGAACCCGTAGTTGCTCAGCAAATACTTGTTCAGAAGCAAAACCCCAATGTTCGATGAATACCACGACGCCACTAGCCCGATCGTGAACAATCGGCTCGAGGGTTTCATCGCTGACATCGCCTACCGAATCAACTCCAAAAAAAATCGAATTCCGCAATCGACAAATGCAGTCGCGAACGGATCTCCGCTAGAATCGACTCCAGGAATCGAGCGAGAGGAGGAAACCGAGGGATCTGAGCTCCTGCTGCTGCATTCGCCAAATCCAACGGCTCAGATCCACCACAATCAAATCCACTAATCCCCAATCACAAAATCGAACCCTAAACCCCCAATCCGGCGCAGAATTTCTTCCGAAGCTCCAAGGAACCGACCTCCGGCCGGCCGACAAAGAATTCCGGTTACGAACAGGATTCAGACTGAGCCAAACTCCGATCAATTATCAACGACAATAATCAAACCTACAGAATTTATGCTCCTCCGTCCGTCCCTCCTCTTTCTGCTGCAGATAGAGTGATTGATTGATTGATTGATTACCCAATGATGAAGACGAAACCCAACCAAATCGAATGGAGTTTTGGAGGATTTGACTTCACATTTGTCTTTATTGCTAAACGGCGTAATTAATTGAACTAAATATATGTATTTCTGAGGGTAATTACCCAAGAAGAATTGCCAGCTGGAATTTTTTGCATAATTTTAATAGGTTAGGGAACGAACACTCCATCACTCCAAATCACTTATAAAATACTCCCTCCTTCACATTCACATAATATGGATGTATGGCCGTAATCACGGCAATTTAGGTAAAGTATAATTAATAAGTAATTATTAATAAAAATAATTATAGATTAAAATTAAGATAATCAAATAATTTAATTAAAATTGAAAAAAAATAAATTTTAAATTTTAAAATATGATTAAAATATATAATTAATTTTTCATAAAAAGAAATGAGAAATTATGTGGACAAGAGAGGTAAATACTTTTTCTATTCGCTTGACAGCGTAGAGGAAAAAAATAATAATAATAAAATTATAGTACAAATATATATTAAAAAAATTAATATTAAATATAAAATAATAAATATAAAGCTAATAATATTTTATTAAAAATAATAATATTTTTGTTTGATTCTAAAAGTTTCGCTATTATAATAATTTGTGCAAAAACATTATACAATTCGAATATTTTTAATATTAAGTATAATGATGTAAAAGGTAAATGACACTTTATATCCGAACAAATAGAATATATTATTATTAAAAAAAATACAAAGATTTAGGATGTTTCTAATTAAGATAATAGAATAGAAATAGTATAGAATGAAATTGTAAAAAATAAATTAATAATAGAAAATTCACTTGATATATGCTAAAAAAATAGAAAAATGAAAATACAATACGTAAAGAAAATATTGAAAAAAATAAATTAATTGTTCATTAAAAAATAATAAATTGGATAAAGAAAATATTATTGTATTTTTAATTTGATAATTTATTTTAATAATAATCTAAATATGATAATTTATAATATTTTAATAATATAAAAATCATAAAAATTAAATACTAGTAATAACCATAACAAATAGACACAAATGAAATCATAAAATATAAATTAAATAATTAAATACACACTTCACTGTTTCAATTTTATTTTTAAGTGTACTTTTATGTAATGTAGTTTCAATTTTTTTTACCGAATAACAAATTCAAATTTACATTATTTTCTATAAATATATATGTAACAATCAAAATTAAATAGAAAGTGACATTCGACTGTCCATTTGGTTAAATTTCTACGAAAGAAAAATCACTTTCATCTAATGTACTTAAATTCTCTTCATTATTACTAAATATAAACTATTTATACCATAAATTTAATTCAATAAAATTAATTCGAAATAATAAATTTACCTTTTTTCTATTAAATTACTCCCTCCGTCCCATAAAATATGGGACAATTACTGTAGATACGAGAATTTAGGTAAAGTATAATGAGTAAATAATTAAGAAGTATATCAGTAAAAAAAATTATAAATTAATATTAAGATAAGTAAATAGTTTAATTAAAATTAAAAAAAAATTATAAAATGCGATTAAATGCATAATTATATTTCCAAAAATAGAAATGACAAATTATATGGGAGGAACGAAAATAAAAAATAGGGACAAATTATGTGGAATGGAGGGAGTAATTCAGTTAGGCTAAGTAATCAACATAGGCGACTTAGTCAATATAATATTCCAACAACCGCGTTGTAATTAAATAATTAATATATATATATATATATTAATAAATGAACTGATATTTATTAAATTTGTGGGATCTATTATTTTTGGACCCATTGAAGCTCATATGATGTTTTCTCAAATCATATTCATAATTATGGTTAGGTGTAGATATAAAGTTTTGGAATTTTAGAGCTTTAATTTTTATTTAGATAACAAAATAGTAAAATATTTGAGCAATATTCTATTAAATAAATAAACATTGTTGAATAAAATATATCAACCCTCTCAAACCAAATATATAAGACCATCTGCAACCCATAACTCCATTTTTCAGATCTACAGTACATTTTTTTTTGCAGGGTCTTTTCTTCAACTATACCCTTTATTTTTGCATGGTTAAAAAAAAAAATAGACAACTATATAAATAAATAAATAATTTATAAATAAATAGATAATTGTATAAAAAAAAATGCAAATCAGTGCAAGGTGAGTTGGAGCAGTTTTTTCTCTTCACCCTGCAAAAGTAGGGAAAACCTCCTCCATTGGAGATGGCCGAATACCAAGGTGCATTCTAAAAAAATTGAAGGCATAGATAAGCCTATTGAGCCTTTCAAAATGATCGGTGTCGAAATTTCAACCCATGACCTCACGATCACAAATTCACTGTCTACACCGCCCTACATATATTTTAATGTTTAATAGATTTTTTTATTTTTTTATTATGAGATATGAGAATTATGAAAATGAATAATGTTTATTATTTTTATATTGATTTCTTTTGCTCAAACTTTTTAAATTTTGTTATTTGAACTATATGTTTATTATATTTTTTCTTATAAAATATTGTACAAAATACTATTTTAATACCAAAATCAAATCATAATATTTTTAAAAAAAAAGATTAAAAAGAAAAACACACAAAGAAAAGGTCAGCATTTGTGTAGTTGTGAAGCCAAAAAAACAAAGTCAAAGTCTCGTGGCCAAGAAAAATTAAAAAAATTAAAAAAAAATCCATGGCCATGCTTTATGCTTTTTTTATGACTTTGTTGATGTAATTTTTCAACAAAAATAAAGTAAAATTCAAAGATATAGAAAATATCCTTAAACTTGATTAATTAGTGCCTGAGATTAGGAATCTCTAAACACTGTATGGTACAGAAAATAAACTGGAAAATAAAAGACTGAAATTTAAAGTGGTGATCCCCAAATCTGACTTTGCTTTGTTGAAGTTGATTGAAGATGCCTTGTCAAATGATTATCCAAGCCTTTAAATATTCTCTGGGAAACCGTACCGAAAACCGTCACCCGAACGGTTACAACGTCTCCTTCCCAACCGTCTTCCAACCCTTCTCATGCTGACACGCGTCCCCAGCAGACCAAAATTATCCCTATATTTCACTCTTTGAGCCGACCACAGACCTTCCGCTCTTTTGGCCCGACTGCCAATCTACAATAGTATGGGTCCGACCGCCAATCCTCCCGACTTGCGAACCATCTGGCTTGAGGTCTTTCCGCCTTGAGGACTTCCCGACCTGAAAACCTTCCGACTTGAGGTCTTTCCGCCTTGAGGACTTCCCGACCTGAAAACCTTCCGACTTGAGGTCTTTCCGTCTTGAGGACTTCCCGACCTGAAAACCTTCCGACTTGAGGTCTTTCCGTCTTGAGGACCTCCCAACCTGAAAACCTTCCGACTTGAGGTCTTTCCGCCTTGAGGACTTCCCGACCTGAAAACCTTCCGACTTGAGGTCTTTCCGCCTTGAGGACTTCCCGACCTGAAAACCTTCCGACTTGAGGTCTTTCCGTCCTGAGGTCCTTCCGTCCTAATGACTTTCCGTCTTGAGGACCTACCGACCTGAAGACCTTCCGACCTGAGGTCCTTCCGTCTTGAGGACCTACCGACCTGAGGTCCTTCCGTCCTAATGACTTTCCGTCTTGAGGACCTACCGACCTGAAGACCTTCCGACCTGAGGACTTTCCTTAGTAATAAACCTATTTTCCTTGATTTCCTCATGGTGCCCTTCAGTCAGTTCAATCAACTCTATTGCCAGGCCCATTCTTCTTTTTACCTTGGGCTTTTAACCTAATTCTAAATTTCGTACGTAACAACTTGCCCGCCGCCAAGGGACTTTCAAACGCCATTTAACAATCAATGTTTGGAAGTTCATAAATCACCACCCTCTTGAAAAACTCCCTTAGCAACTGCACCAGTTACTGCAACACTCCTGATTAACTTCCTTCTCCGCAATACAAGCTTTTGTGAATCACAATCCCAAAACACTCTAACCATGGCAAATCAATACATTCCTGCCCTTCCCTTCGAAGGAACCCTCCCGGAGGGCCCATTTTCAGCCTCGAAAGTACTAACTCCGACGATCCGTCCATATTGCACTACTCCTGAAGATTCAAATCGGATGAGGGAAGTCTTGGAATCCCGAAATTCCTTGGCTATCAACAGCCCTAACTACCAAGCAGTTCGCATTCGAGACAGCATCAAAACCCATCTCACAGACCCAAAAGATCCTTACCGCGCTTGGTATCGACGGGTAGCAGAACACTTCCAGACCCAATGGCGTTCCCAAAAGATCGACCAAGCAATACTACTGTCCACCATGCCTATCAACCTGCATGAGAAGGTGCTGTTGGCCATGTCTGCCTTCTGGAATGCGGAAAATGGGACTTTCCTCTTCCCATCGGGCCCCTTTGGCCCAACTCTTATGGACGTTGCAGTGATCGCGCATCTCCCAGTCGTGGGTGAAGACCCTGTAATGGGAGCCCTAGATGGGCAGGAGCCATCAGAAGACCATCCAGGGTGGTCTTTACAAGGTGTGAAGGAATGGGGTTGGACAAAGTTCGCAACCGACCAGCAAGGGGCTCCAGGGACCCCTGTAACCGACCGGGAGCATACTGCCTTTATCCTTTTTTGGCTTTGTAGGTACGTCATTGTTTCCCCTTCCAAATGTGTTCTTCCTTCTCATCTCGACCTGGCCATTCATATCACGTCAGGTCGGTTCTTTTCCCTTGGCACCCTGTTTTTAGCCAATCTGTTTGAGGGACTTACTAGAGTTAGCCTTCGTTTAACAGATAATGATAATAGGAAATTAGACACTGCCGCGTCGGGTCCTTTTTGGTTTTTAGAACTTTGGTTCCGGCTCTACTTCCCCAACGCGTTTAACTTAGGATCTCCGCCCACTATGCCAACAGCTGAAAAACATTTGGGATTAGCCCTTAACCGACTCTGCTCAGGACGCAATAACCTCCAATCTTCCGATCCAATAATAATCGCAGTTTTAACAGATACCCGCAGTAACTCTCGATTTTCTATGTATAAAAAGTATGCGGGCTATGCTCCCGACCATTTTTGGCCTTTTCTAGTACCAAATCCGCTTCCGACT